GCAGCATTTATTTTCATGGTATCTGAACTTTTATCATTTGATATCCGAAGATCTAACTGATGGTAGCAAAATAAATTTATGATAATCATCATTATATTTATTTTTATTTTCTTTTTAAGAAAATGGCACTAGGTTTTGATACCGTACAGGTTAGGTTTAGAATTGACACGTGTCGTATTCACGTTGAAACACGAAGTGATGTCTGGGTGAAGCACCGCCGTACCCAACACAGAGAGACAACCGTATCTCAATGACGGCAGTCACTTTTTATATCTGTCTTCGAGAAACGAATCTCTAGATTTGCTAATGTGAATGCCCGTTTTGTTTTTGTTTTTTTCTTTCAAATATCCGTCTAAATTAGTGAGTTTATTTCTTAATAAACGAGCTATTTTCTCTTTTTATCCAATCAATGAGTTAGATTTAAAATTTTGAAGCGTACCACGAAACATATATATATATATATACATAGACATATATTGAGATTATTTAAGATATTCTGTTTATTTTTAGATATTCTGTTTTATTAAAAGATACAAAAAATATGATATAATAATAATAATAATAATATTTTCAGTGTATTGGTTTCTTTTAAAAAAATATCGAGCATAGGAACAAAATATAGATGGTTTTGGGTATTAATTAGGAACACATGAGGGTAAGAAAGTCAAAGGGAGAGCAAGTGATAGCGTAACAACCGGGGCACAGCTGGGTAGCACAAGGCCGAATTAAATATTGACAGGTAGGATCCTCCCTTAGGGGTAAAACCGTCCTTTTACTAATCGCATGCTCCAACCAGACACAAATAACAAAGGGAAACGCGCTTGGTTCAGAGGGGCAGTGCACCGTCCGATGCGACGACCAGTAGCAGAGAAAAAAAGACAAGAAGCACCCACCCACCGCTGCAAAGGTGCACCGTCACACACTGGATTATTTTCAAACTTAAACTCCTTTGACCATTGTTTGTCGTTGACTCTTTCCTCTCCGACTTGTACCGTACGTACGCGTAGACCCCCTCGCGCGTGTATAACACTTTCATATGGTTTTTAAAATAACTATATTGAAATGTCCGAATAATTCTTATTTTACCCCAATATTTTTTAATCTAAATGATAAATTTTCTTCAATATGATAATATTAGGATATTCTTCTTTTTTTTTTTACCACAAATTGCATATTATATTTTGTTTTCTTAATTATTGTATAATAAACTTAAGGTGAGATTGTTAAAGGCAATATATATATGTATATATATATATATGATTTTCCAATATGAAGACATGTGTTTTGTGAATATATATATATATATCACAAGCTTTTTTTAGGACGTTATCGTCGTATAAGTGACGCAGCAACAGTCAAACTCAAGACCATAGAACGGGTTTAACGTCCACCATTTTCAATTTTAATACGTAGGCGATAAGAGATGTTGAATTTTATAAAGATAGATACTATATATAGTTATCGATTTTAAAAAAATGATTCGTAATAATTTTTTTTGCATTGTATTGCAAAAGAAGAAATATATAATGAACTTATAAATTAGACGAATACAAACCAACTGCTAATTTTATATGAATTTAAAATACGAAAACAAATGTATATTAGTTAAAAAGCGTTGGAATTTGGTCGCACCGAAAACAATAACTCCACCAAAATGTCATTGAATAAGTTTTCAAACCAAAATTAATATGAATTTATATTTTTTTTTTCATTTTTGGTCATTATGGGGCCAAGGGAATGCAATTATGCGACCCTTTTTAAGAAGAAAATTTTCAACTACCACATCTTTTTGGACTTACATGGCACATCCAACAAAGCATCCTCACAATGTATCAACATCATCTGTTACATCATGACCGTCCACTTCGATCTGGGTGCCCACACTTATGGTTATATATATTATCTTCATTTATTGTGAAATTTTTATTAATTAGCTCTAACCCTTTAGTTATTTCATTAAAAATACTCATCTCCCATATAGTTAATTGCGTTATTGATATGCATAATCTAGCAAATATTTGATAGATCGAACCTACTCGTTTGATATTAGGATCGAGCATCTTGTAGATAAAAATCATAGAAGGTGATACAATTAAACAAATAAACTATTATTTTATAATTAAAAAAAATATGAGTAGTATATACTTTTTTTTTGGTGAAATGTAAATATACACCAAAAAATGGATGTTTTACAATTGCTATATCTTATATATATATATATAATATGATTTAGATGAATTCGACGTTGCTGGATTTAAAGGTCAAAATAAAGATTTACGTTTTATTATGGGTTTCTTGATATAATTCATACACATATATGTGTATATATACCGTTTTTCAATGAACTTGTACGGCAAGTTGGTCTAAGTCAAGGAGTTGGAGTGCTTCCCAAGAAAACAACGGTCCAAATCAACCATGCTAGTGAGATACCAAAAAGTGCAATTTCCAAGTGAACACTATTTTTATTTTTGTTTTTTTTTATTTATTTATTTCGTCCCCATTTATACCAAATTGCCCTTCTCGGCTTCAATGCATATATATATATATATATAGGAGACAATTTTGTAAGAATATGACAATTAATGATATGACAAATTCGGTGTTTTTCTTTACATTTTCTCTATCTAATTAAGAGTCCCGCCGACTAAATTGGATTAAGTTGAAAATGAATACATTCCATTTCGGGGAAATTACAGGTAAATTTATATGTGATAATTACATCAAAAATCAATTTTTTTTATCAGAAGAATATATATCATTCTTTAATTTCTAAGAAATACATCTCCTATGTATGCATACACAAGTGTGTAAATTATACAATGAATAACGACAAGTCATTGGCCAATGAAGTAATTTCCCGGAAATTTACAACGCACTTAAGAATATATATATATATATATATATATATATATATATCATATGGTATTATCCCTAAAGGATCGATCCAAATATTGGTGAATCAGTCATTAAATTATAGATCGATCATCTAAGAATATAGACAGACATCAAGACATGTGTGTGTTAGTTGTGGTGCTTATCATCAGACCAAGAAAACACAACTCGACTAAATTAATATTTAATCAAACTCAGTTAGTACACATAATTATACCATTATTAATTAATTAAATTAATGCAACGCCTTAGTTAGAGGGTAACGAGGGCATGCAATGCATGAGGAGTGATTAAAAAAAAACTAATTAGTGGTTAATGTATAATACCACAGTGGAGATTTGTTAAAGAACATGCATATGAGGAGGGATAAGATCAACTACAGCTAATGGCATCAATCATAGAGATACTGAAGCATATATTTAGTATTTAAAACTGGGATTAGGGTTTTGGTGGGTAATTAAGGAGGGCTAATCCCCGATTAATCAGAAGGGTCAGAGTTGGTACGAAGGCATACACGCATGGTTCACATGGTCAACCTCGTGAAATATATTTTCCAATTCAACACCATTTTAAGATAATGGAACGACGATTACATTATGCACTTTTTTTTATAAAATATCTCAATAGATTCAAAAAATCAAATTCACGAGATAAACTCGTTGATTACCCACCTAGCTAAACCATAATCTGAATTTTTTTTAACATTAATAAATTTTAGTCGAACTATTTTTTTTTTTATCAATGATTTTTTTTTAAAAATCCAGGCCATGTGCTCGGAAGCATGTTGGAACTAAAACACACACCTCTTTTTCTGTATTTCAAACTTAAAAATGAATTTCTAAAATCACATGTCTTCGACTTAAATTTTGGTCAAACCCTAAAAATATCCAATGAAACGACGCATATAATATTATATACATTATATGTAAATTTACGTGTGAAGACTTCAAAAGATCATGAGAAGCCCTAGCATTTATGTGTAAATTCATAGCAAAAAAAAAAATCAAATATCTATAATCGATGAAACGTATAAAATATTGCAAAACCAAATTTAAAAAAATATTAGCAATGCAGAGTCAATGGTGAAATAATTTTTTTTAAAAAATGGATGAAAGAACATGTGGTCATAAATTTAATAGAAATCCTTCTTTGGATCCCTCCCCGACATAAAAAAAGGTACTCGGACACGTACAACTAGCTGTACTCGAAACCGCACTTAAAAGAGTTGGACGTAATAAATGTGAACAGGTTATGAAAATCAACACAAAGGTATAGTACGGAAAAAAACAAGATCCGAGGAATTTAATAATATGGAAATTATATATTATGATCAATCTCACATGGGCATTGCCTTGTGATGAGTATTGGAGACAAATCTTGCATGAGCATGAAAAACTAGGACAATCTCTTGGTTTATATAGTTTTTTTTTTATTATAAAAAATGAGTTATTGAAAATAGAATATTTAAAACTTATATTGAATCATAGGATAAAAAGAAATTAACATGGCTACACGGGGGAATAGTTAAGAATTGATGTGATAATTCACCAAGTAAATTATAAGAGTGTCAATTTAGCCACGAGATCCGAAACACGATCCGATCCCACCCAAAAAATATTAGGTTTTGGGTATAAATTTTTTGGTTTGAAAAAAATCGAATTTTAGTATCAAGTTTAGTTCGGATTTCGGGTCGATCTGAAAGTACGATATTTTTTTTTGTAAAAAAATTATTAATTGATAAAAATAATAAAATTATAAAGGAATTGAATGGGTCAATCCAGCCCGATCTAAGTACAAAATTTATAGGATCGGATATGACTATATATACCTGAAAAAATCGGACCGGTTAACTCAAACCTGAAACCTTTGAGTCGAATGCGGATTCGGACCGATAACCCTAGTAAATTATTCTAAGAAGGAAGTGGATAATAAAGGTAACCAAAACAAAAGTATCTTACATTTTTTCAACCTAATAATCTCAATTTTTTTTTTCTTATGGATCAAAGCTAAGAAGAATTGCAGCCCAAAAGCGATCGTGCTTTCTCAAGAGCCTCAATGTATGTCCCCCAATTATCATGGTTTATTAATGGCCCAACGAATACTGCCCATTTAAGTGGTACCAAAAAAGTGGTACCAAAAAAAGCTTAAAACATGGGCTTCACATTCACATGGGTCAACCTCTTGATTTTTTTTCTTCTGTTTTCTAATTCAAACACCATTAACAAGATACTGACCAAACCCTAGCAAAGTCAGAGAGGAAGACAGAAAACCTAATCCTTCTCCTCCAAAGCTGGCTTCCATTCCATACCAACAACAGCCAAAAAACGGTGCATATACACATATATGAATCGTACGTAACGTACCTTCCATGGACATTTGAATTATTCCCATTGTTATACATTTGAAGCTTCCATCATTCATCTTTTTCATGCCCTTCTTCATTGATCTCTGCATTTTCTCACCTGTCACACAACCAAAGAGAACCCGTGGGACAAATATCTAGTTTTTTACAGTGCAGATGACCTGTCGCTGCCATAGTAAAACCCGTAATTACCATGGCTATAGACACTAATTAACTGGTTCAAGTAAACCGACAAGTTCGATGCTTCTGTTTTTTTTTGGTAACACAGAGAGTTGCATCTGCATCTGTGACGACTGTTAACGTTCACACTATAACCTCGGCCAGCAGAAAGGGAAAAATATTTGCCAAAAATGTAGATGAACAACATCCGTACGAGTAAACATCTATATAACCTCCGTCCCAGAAGCGATGAGGTTTGGAGACAAAGTTTGCATGAGTATTCAATCTATGGCATAACATTAGCTGGACTGGACTGGATGCAGCAGTACTGACAATCTCTTGGTGATATTAGTTTCAATAAAAGGAATGCTACATGCATGGATCTGGTAAATACCAGAAACATGATGACATTGACTAGAGAAGCACCGATTCTTTTATTTTTTTCTGCAGGTAGACGAACATATATTTAGTTATTGAAAAGAGTATTTAAAACTTACATTGAATCATCGGAGTCGTCTGATTCACTTCTCTCTGGCTCAGGCCCTGCAGGATTAGGCCCGGTTGTTTCAGGAGCTTCGGGCTTTTCCGCTGGGGTGGGTGATGGAGGCTTCTTGTTCATGTTACTAGCGTTTTCGTTGGCAGCTTCCTCTTGCTCGTTTACCTATCGCCAAATTAACAAGACTAGTAACGCACGGAAGTAATTTACCCAGGCTTACATGATTTTTAATGTTCGAAAATCACCTTTAAGTAACCAATTCTATAACAAAAATATCTTACATTTTCAACTGTACCGCCAGTCAAGATGTTCACCAGGTCTCTCTCAACACGCTGTACAAGCTCTGGCTGTAACATTTGACAGTAATCATGTCAGTTAAATAAATCAGATGTCGAAAATCAAACACCACTCCCATGTTTAGATATCCCAATACTCTCAATCTTTATGGCTCAAGCTAAGAGCAATGCCCAATACTCAACCGCCTTTCCTAAGGGCCTAAAGAACACAACTACTAAAACACAATTTGACTGCCCTTGTAAACTACTATATGTTTCCATAACCCCACGCTATTTGTAAATACTTGATGTATTTTAAAATAATCACAAGATACTACAGGTAGAGGAAAGTACATTAAGGTCAGGCTCTCGACGGAATCTTCGTTTCCGAGCATCCTTCATAGGAGGAGTGAGACCATGCCTATATTCTACTGTACTGGGTGCAGGGTCACCTGTCTCCCTGACCATGATCATCTATAGCAAAGCAAAACGATTAACGTTCATATTGCCTTTCATCAAAATGGAATGGAAAAGGTTATTGGAATTTGGAAGAGATGTGTCGATATCTACCTGCCCGATATCAGCAGTTTTTACCAAAGCACAGTCATCATAGGTTTTAAAGGACTCAACAACACAAGGGAGATCTAGCAGAGAAGCAGGGAACTCTTCGTTTCCAATGACAAATGTCCCGGTTCTCCCATCTTCTGCAACACAAACCATATCCATCAATCCAGTTGCTCTAGTTGCATATTGAATGTCAACTACACCATAATTGTGAAGATTAGATGAACAAAAACACCTGAACAGCGATAATGACCTCATAACGCAAGAGAGCGAATGCAAATGATTTACTAGAAAAAAGCACACAAAGCCATAAAACTCATCCTAAGCAACTGCACGAATCAAAGTGACAAGAATGTCTTTACCCTTGACAGGCGAGAACCTCAGGCAACATCTACCAACTGATCAAGTTCCAAAGGACCAACTAGTCAGGTCAATACCACACCAAACACTACAATATTCATTAATCAGAAACTCGCACTACAGGTTCCAAAACACGAACAAATTAGCTATTATAGGTACTTCAAACCGGATCTCTACAAAATTCATTGATTCCATGTGCACTAGTTCAGGAAAAAGAGAGGAGCGAAAAGGAAGAAACCTGGGGTTAAACCTAGATAAAAAAACTAAAAAACTAAAAAAAAGGAAACTATGGACTTGGCAAGGATCCTCACCGGAAAAGGACAAATCCAAAGGGATTTCGTCGGTGGAAGAACCATCATCGCCCAAAAGCCGATCAATTCGCTCTGAAATAGATGGCGGAACCCTAAGAATGAACTGCTCCTCCATCAAGATGGTGACAACAATTTCGGTTAAAAACCTTTGCACACAAAAATTATCACAAGACCGATCAATTTCCTGAAACTGTAACACCATCAGATGAGAGATTCCAGAACTCTCTCTTTACCAAATGTAATGCAAAATCAATTACGTTCTAATTAGAAATCCACAATGCTGAACCCAGAAAAAAACAAGTTCCAATTAAGTTTTTTGTTCAGAACAAAACTTATTGATCTGTAGAAAACGATAGAATCATCACATAGGAAAAGAAATACCATCATAGAACTTCACACAATGGAAAATATCTATTCCTATCTTGCCAAAAATTCAATATTTCAATCCTTTAGAAGCAACACTACAACATTCCTCAAGGGCAGAGAAAAAAAGAGAAAAACTTTGGGTTTGTGGATCAAGGTTATTTTTTTTCATTGGAGGAAATAACCGTTACATACCAGTAGATTTGTAGTCTAAATTCAAAAACTTCAAAATAGTAATGTACGACAACCCATAGAAATCGAGAATTTCTCAAACAGAGATATTTCAAATGATTTCTACGAACAAATAAAACGTGATATCGGCCGCAAAGATCGATAATTACGGGGAAATTTAATCAGAACTCGAAATACCAAATCAATTTGCAAAACAGAGAACAAAAACAGACCAAAACTACTAATTTCCCTCAGGAACCACGACCATGAGTCGGCGGATCAACGGCGTTAGCGTCAACGATTGCTTCACCAGACTAGTGGGTTTAGGGGCTGTAAATCCTGGTTCCGACAAGAGGGAATCGCAGCCAGAGAAACGGTCGGAATCTTCAGCGCAACAGGAAAGATGTGCAGGAAAAAAACATACAGATAGATGAAACCCTAAAACGCACCAGAGAGAGAGAGAGAGCGCGCGCGTTGGCGGCGAGGCAGGGAGCGACTTCGACAGCGCCGGCGAGAGGAGAGAGAGAAAGAGAGATGGTCTGATTTGTTTTGGGCCTTAAAAATATTTTAGATAAAATCAGTAAGCCCAAATTAAAATTGTAATGGGCCTACGGTTAAATCTATATATACACACATATCAATCAATCAATGAGCTCTGCAGGTTCTTTTTCTCTACGTTATAGACTTTCAGAGTCTTTGGATATTGTTTCTTCCTTTCTTTTTGATAATGAGAAGTTTAATTTAACACCACTATATATATATTTATATATATAATGATATATAGATAACAATGAAATACACATTTTACACAAGTTCATTTTTTTAATAAATTTTTGTCACTAGTTTCAGATATAGAAAAATATTCTTGTTGCAGAAGTAGATCTATTGTATTTTAATTTTATCCAAAAAAAAAAAAAATAGATCTATTGCAAATTTGTAAAACATATTGACCATAAAAAATTTGGTAAGAACCCATTATTTGTTCCGATCCAAAATCACTTGTTTCAGTAAAAAACATTTGTTTCGTCTACAGGCGAACACCTTGAGAGATTGCAAGCAGCTTTCGTAGGGAAACAGAAAGAGAACACACGTGCTGATAGGATGAGAGAGCAAAGCCAACGGAGATAAGCATGGAATCCACCCGGTTACATGATCGAGCTTCACATGAACAATTTAAACAAACAACAGTTCCCTCGACTACTACAATGCCAGATCACCAAAACGAGAGAGCCTAAGCAGCAACAGAAGGCTTGGAAGCAACAGACAGCCTCGACCTCTTCTTTGCCAAACTCTCACTGCGACGTTCCCTCTGCTCCTTCAAGCGGGTTGCCAAAAGCTTCTGGTACTCAGCAGCATCTGCATTCGCCTTTGCGATTCTCTTCTTCTTCTCTGCAATTCTCGACCTCTTCCTCTGAAGGGTCAATGGAGTCACCAGCCTCTGTATCTTTGGTGCCTTGCTAACCTTCTTACCTGAAGTTTATAATCAAATGTAAGGAAGATCCACAACATCCGAGGACAAAAACTCTCAACTGTTTTTCGTGATTTTGCTTACCGGTTTTGGTTGTGAAGGTGCGACGGTAGGTGTTAACATACTTCCTGACATCATCCTCCTTGGAGAGGTTGAACAGCTTGCGAATCTTTGATGCCCTTTTCGGCCCCCTCATTCTCGGCTTCTCGGTGTCAGTTAGCCCAGGAAGATCGTTCTCCCCTTTCTTCACGATAACCAGATTCAATACCGAAAGATCCGGACTCACAATGCATCCACGGACAGACTTCCTTCTACGCTCTCCATTCCTCCTGCCGTATCCTCTGAAGCATGGTGTGCCTATTCAAATCAAATAGATCGTGTAAGTCGGATAATCTGATAAGACCATTCGCTGAAAAGAAGAAACGACATTGTACCTCGGTGAAGAAGAAGGCGGACACGGCCAGGAGTAAGAACTCCCTGCTTCATTGGGAAACCCTGCTTGTCACATCCTCCCATGATTTTGAACACGTATCCCTTGAACTCCTGTAAACAAACAGTCGGAGAAAAAAGAACAATCTCAAAGATGTTACACAATATAAAGAGCATGACTTTCTAAACCAATCAAGGAAACATAGGAATCGAACCTCTCCCAAGGCATCTCCACTGACTTCCTGAGAAATCCTCTTGTCAAAGAATGCCCGGCTGTTTCATCAGGATTCAAACTCAGAAACTTTACCCATAAAACCAATCTAAATCCATGGGCGATCAACACTGATCAGGTAACTTCGAACATAAGATGATTCCAACAAACATTAAGTCCCGAATTACATTATTAATCAATAGCAGCATAAATCTAACATAATCCGAATCCGAAACCGAAAAAGCAATCAATAGGGCTAGTTTTCACACCACAGTAGCACACCGAGAAAATGCACAAATTCTCAAAAAAGATTTCCCACGAATCAAATCTAAAACTGGAAGAAACCTAATCTAGAGTCATGCACAAAACAACGTTACCTGAAACTATATAACGAATCTAAAAGAAGGACGCGAGAACAGAGAGGATAGTGCTTACAGTTTCTGGTCATCATCGATCTCGAGCTTCTTCTGGCAACCAGTTGTGGGATTCGCGATATTGAACTAAAACAGACAAAAGCAACGGGTCATGAAACAAAAGCTCTAATCTCGTGAGAAAACAAGAGAAGAAAAGGAATCAATCTCACCTTCATCTTGTCTGATAAACACTACACCACCACTGCAGCACGCGCCGAGAGAAAAACGCTGGTTAGCAAACTAGGGTTTAGCAAACACCAGCAGCAGACATCTACATTTACAAGGAGATGAAAACGGGTCGGGTGCTGTTTCAGAATATGGGCCAATAAAATATCACCTCGGCCCGGCCAGGTCAATTAATGGGCTTTTCTACGATAAACCCTTAATATTAACCATCTGCTCTCAAATAGCGTGTGTATATATATAAAGATTCTATATATACTTTCTATCAATAGATGTGTAATTCAATTCTATCGATTCCACATATGTATCTATATTCCTTCATAAAAATGAAAACACATGTTTATAAGATGAAAATGGCCATCAGGGTTTCTTTATTTTTTGTTTATACTTTCGTCTCGTAAGAATCAAAATATCTCATATTTGTCCTTAACATTTTAAAATTTATTTGCAGACCCTAGAAAATAAGAAGGTATTAGATATAATTTTGTGTCATAAAAACTTATAAAACCATCTGTTTTTTATTTTATCGCGGAAAATCGAAACAGAACGTACATAAATGTGTGGCTCAATACGATTTTGGACATGATTTGGGGTCCATTTCAATTTTAATTGTTTGAGGCATAAAATGAAATGTTAATTATATTGAAGGGTGAAAATATAAAACAAAAGAAGGATATAGAAGCCCTAATGTCCCTTTTCGCTTGATACTGTAAGGAGATTTTGGGTTTCTCCGCTCTCTCTCTCCACTTCGCTGCCGCGCCTTTTCAACGGTGGTTCGCCGTCCGTCGTCGCCGGTAAGCCCTTCCCGTGCTTCTCCTTTTTCCCCTTCCCGGGCTGAAGATTTCGACGGTTTCTCTGGCGGTGTTTCTGTCTTGTCGGAACCGGTTATTCACAACCCCTGAACCCACTAGCCTGGTGGAGTAATCGCTGACGCGAACGCCGTTGATCGGCCCATTCATGCTTGAGGGAAATTTGGAGTTTTGATCTGTTTTTTGTCTCTGTTTCTGTCAAATTGTTTTTTTTTTTAAAAACTTTCGCGTTCTTATTAAAATTTCCCAGTAAGTACCGATCTTTTAGAAAAAGTTGCGATTTCTTTGGGGTGTAGTACATTACTTCTGCTGTTTTGAAGTTTTAATGTTGAGTTAGGCTACAGATCTACATGTAACAGTCATTTGTTCCAATAAAAAAGAACCTTGATCCACAAACCCAATGTTTTTGGTTTTCTTTGTCAGAGCTGCTTATGAGGTCATGTTGTAGTGTTACTTCCAAAAGATTGAATTTTGGGTAGGAACAGAGATTGGGAATTCTAAATTTGGGAGGAGATACCATTATATTTGCCGTTGTTGGAAGTTCTATGATGGCTTTTCCACCTATCGAAGCGGTGGTGAATCTATCCTTTTGCAGAGGTCAATAAGTTTTGTTCTGAACCAAAAACCTTATTTGGAACTTTTTTTTTTCTGGGTTCCGCATGTGTGATTTCAAATTAGATCATAATGTTTCGGTGGACTTTGGTTTTTGTGGTATGTAGTAACTCAGAAATAGAATTTTGTCTTAAGTTTCTGGCATTCTGATTTTTGAGCTAAATGCCCGAGGCTTTTCTTTTTAATTGTGCAACGATATTTTGGTGTTGTTTTCTAACTCAATTTCATTGATTGATAAAGAGGTTGAAGATTATCCACAATGAGGGGAAGGAGCTACACTCCATCACCACCAAGGGGTTATGGGAGGAGAGGTCGAAGCCCTAGCCCTCGGGGACGATATGGGGGTCGTGGCCGAGACTTACCTACTAGTCTTTTGGTTCGCAACCTACGCCATGATTGCAGGTATACCCTTGTTCACATCTCACTTGGTGTGAAGGTTTTCAGAATGTTGATTGTATATTTTATGTTCTCTTACTTATCATGAAATAAATGTGTGTTTGAGCAGGACATTGTTTTTCTAATAGAAATATGTAAGGAAACATGTAAATTGTAGCTGAGAAATTTTCTTTTAAGATACTTCTCAAATTAAGATTCTCCATATTTGGTTTAGGTTCCTACTGTCTTTTAGTTTTATAGCTTTTACCAATTGGTTTTTGCTACTTATATACTTTTCTGTTTTTGCAGGCCAGAAGACCTCAGGAGGCCATTTGAACAGTTTGGTCCTCTCAAGGACATCTACATGCCGAGGGATTATTATACTGGGTGAGCAAGTGCAGTAAACTAGATGTTGAAAAAGCATTTGAATGTTTTCTTTCGTTTTGGTTGGGTAGTACCTCCATGCTTTTCTTTTTTCTTTTTAAACCATGCTTCTTGAATCTTTGTTTCCTAACTTTTTATTTGTTTTCCTTTTTGCCATTTTCTGCATCTGGGTGTTGCTTATGATTCGATGGGATGTTTATGTGGACGTACCAAACAACAGTGATTTGTGAATCATATTTAGTGTACCTTTTGTTTCCATTTCTTTCAACATGAGTTGTCGTTTTTTATCATTAAGTCCTTATTTTAGCTACAATGATTGATTTTCAGGGTCAGCTAAGTAGCAACAGCCAATAAGTTTACATCATTTTCAATTGAGTATTACCAAAACCCCATCTTGTTTTGTTTTGGTAGTATGGGGGGGAAGAATACATTGATGATATGTTCCATGTGATCACACTTCGAGTGTGTTAATTGAAGTTGTTGAGGTTTAACAGTGAAACTAAAGAATTGAAGGCAACAAAGAAGTAATTAGAGTTCTTTTGAAGATGATGTAAATGATAATGAAGAATGGAAGGAAGTTGGGTTTGATTTCAATTTGAAGATGTATCAAGTCTTGCAAGGTTAGCAGGCAAGTGCTTGCTATTTCCAGTTTACCATCATGCTGCAGGGGTTTGCCAATTCCATTCCAACACTTTCTGTCACAACGGTATATTTTCCTGAGTGTATGGTTTCTTGGTTTCTAGTCTTAGATGTTTTCCTTTGTTGTCTTTTATGCAGAGAACCACGAGGTTTTGGTTTCGTCCAGTATGTGGATCCTGCCGATGCTTCTGAGGCAAAACATCACATGGATGGCTATCTTCTTCTTGGCCGTGAACTGACTGTTGTATTTGCTGAAGAGAACAGAAAGAAGCCAACTGAAATGAGGGCAAGGGAGCGAGGAGGAGGAAGGTGAGCTGAGCTTTTCTTCTTTACAACTCTCTGTGTTTGATATGATCTTTGGGTGCCAGGTGGGCGTAAGAGTAGTATCTCTACTTTCTTAAGAAATACCCAATGCTCAATCTTGAATTTCCGTGTTTGTAGGGGCAAATTCCGCGACAGAAGACGTAGTCCCCCTCGCTACTCTCGTTCACCTCGATATTCTCGATCTCCACCTCCTCGACATGGTAGATCTCGATCCCGGAGCCGTGACTATTACTCTCCTCCACCTAGGAGGCATCACTCAAGGTATTGTTTTTGTCTGAAAATCATAGGATGTCTGATGAAGAATCAAGGGCATTCTCAACTAAGTCGTGGTAGCAGAATACTCCTTTGTGTATTTTGATGTTAAAACTGGAATGAGAATGCTAATCACGATTTTCGTTGATGAAAACCATACCATCAACTGGACTGCCTGTTTTATAATCCGATCCTCTTGTGTTGTAGGTCTGTCTCGCCCCGGAATGATAGGTACGAGAGGGAGAGGTCGTACTCACGCTCACCAGCCCGTAATGGCTCAAGGGGTCGCAGCGGAAGTCCACCGAGAGGCAGAAGTCATAGCCCTAAAAGCAGGAGCCCGGGCCCGAGAAGGAGCAGGAGCCAGACCCCGAGAAGAAGCAGGAGCTACACTCCTGAGCCAGCCAGGAGCCGCAGCCCTAGCCGGAGCAGGAGCCCGAGCCCTCGAGGACGTGAAAACTACAGGAGGGAGCAGAATGCTGACCGTTCTCCTAGCCAGTGAGTGATAATATATAGCGTCTTTCACTGTCACTCTTTTCTGGTGGTTTTCTGCTATATATAGCTGCAGATACTTGTGCCATTAGAATGAGAATTTTCTCCCTCTTATCAGGACAAATCTTTTGTAGGGTTATTATCTTGTTTGCTGTTAAGAGTCTTCCCATGAAAGATCACCTAAAAACACATGTTACTGTAAGATGCGGTTTGCTTTTCAAGTTTCTTAAATGTGTTGTGTCTTCTGTCCGGATCTAGATGGGGCCACCAATGGAGGAAGCTTTTTGACGTTTTATTTCCACTTGTTTGAATTGGCTCTTTTCGCTTTCCAGCTATTCACTCCATGTTTTCTCTCTGCTTCCACACTTCCTTTTCCTGAACCATCAAAGATTCCATTGCCCAAAAGGAGAAAATCTTTACATATATATATATATATATATTTCATTTGATATGCTTATGTTGTTCCTGTAATCTTATACTGGTGCTGATGTTTAATTTATTTTTTGGTTCTTGTTCACAAAATGTGCGACATGCTTTGATTCTGTAAGGAAATCCAAAACATGTTTTCGCTTTTGCAGAGGAAAAAACCCGACCAAAAGGCTCTTCCTTTTCCTCAGGTTGCGAAAATCTTTCTGTATGCGTCTCTTCATTCACGGCGATAATTTTGACATCTCCTCCTTTTAAAGTTTTCCCCCAAGAAAAATACATAAAAATGAAAATAAAATTGTATTTATAGGAGATGCGCATCTATGTAATTTTATTATAAAGTTGACATTTTTCTAACGAGTATAAGCATTTCTAATTGCAAATCCTAATTGTAAATATTTTCTTAAAGGAAACAAACAGTGGTTTTTTTATAAATTGACATTTCTATGAATAAAAATTTTAAAATGCCATTTGTTCAAAAGAATAATTGCGGTTTTTTAATTATTTTTTGGAGTGTTTATTTTAATCAATATTTGTGTGAAGGAAGGGGTATAGTTGTCGAGAATGTAAAAGCTGCAGTCATAATGAATTTGTAATAAGACTGGTCCTCTCTTCTGTATTTATTTAGCTTAAGCCCTTTTGGTTTCCCACGCATTAAAGTGAAGTAGGGGTGGGCACAAATACCCGAAAATCGGGTATCCGTCGGATACTCGTCTCACGGATACCCGATTTTAGGGTACTCGTAATTTTCAAATCCGAATCCAAATCCTTATTTTTCAATACCCGTGAATCCGGATCCAAATCCGGATAATAGAATTTTTAAAACCGGATATCCGCGGGTACCCGCGTATTATGATTATAAATAATTATATCTTATATTTATATAACATTTTTATAAAATACAATTATTTTAGATGAAATAATTTCATATTTTTTTAATATTAATTCAAAAAAATTAAATTTATTATTATTTGTCTCTTATTATCTCTTTTGTCTTATATATTTTATCATAATTCATCAATTTTTATAAATATATCTTCATGTTTTAAAAATTTTATATATGAATATTGTTGTTTTTCTTAAATAAATCCGGATCCGGATATCCGCGAGTACCCGACTATTATTCCGGATACCCGTACCCCGGATACTCGTAAATACCAAATCCCGGATACAAATCTCATAGTTAAATATCCGAGCCTCCCGGATCCGAATCCAAATCTCTCGATTTTCCCGGGTATCCGACCCGTGCCCACCCCTAAAGTGAAGTGAAGAAGTGAATTCTGAGAGAGAGAGAGAGAGAGAGAGAGAGAGAGAGAGACGAAAAGTGTACTTTTTTCTTGGTGGGTTTTTTACATTGCAACGTCTCTGAAGCTGCTGCTCTCTCCCCTCTTCTGTCTTGGAAGAAAGATCTCTTCTTTCCTTTCTGTTTTGTCGTGACTGAATCCTTCCGAGTGAATCTGGTCGGAGCTTTGAGTTCGAATCAGGTGAATCTTTCATCTTTTCTTGATTTCTGCATCTGGGTGTCTGATAGATTTCGGCGTTTAGTTTGTCTGCTGCACGCACTAGAATTTCTTGGACATTCTTGTCTGGTCTTCACTCGCAGTCTCAGAGAACATGTATGGATGAATCATGGAATCTTGTGGCTTTTTCCCTGTGCTCGGAGGATTCATGTTGGCCCACTCTCATTTCGGAGCCGTTCCATATTTCCAGATATATCTACGTTGCATTTACTTGGAGATGATCTGTTACTTATTTTCTTTGTCGGAATCTTGAGTTCATGTCTGTGTAAGCAAGTGCCATGTGCACTTGTATTGATATTATATCAGTTCATCCTCCAAAACCCAGATTCACTCGAGTAAGAAACTGAGGTTTCCTGCTCAGTTCCGGGGTTCCTAGATCAGTTTCTCAATGGTAATTCGCCTGAAATTCCTGTGAAATTTGCATTTATCTCTGGCTTTTGGCATAGTTTATAGACAATTCAAAGAACAAACTCCAAGCAATTGATGTTGCCAGTGATGTTTATGATCTTAAGTAGCAGTGAGAATCATCAATGGTTTGATTCATCGATCAAGAGAGAGAGATGATGATCCATGATCTTGCTTAGCATATCATGTGATTGTGTTCTTCCTGATTCTTGTTCGCGGAAAACCTGTTTCCCAGAGCTTCTGCAGTTCAAGATCATGTTTCAACTTTCAAGTTTCCATGTCTGAATCTTTCAAACTGGATCCATGATCTTTTAAGTTCAAGAACATGTTTCAGGTTCCGTGATCTTGCTTGGTGTATCGTTTTGGTTGCGTTCTTTGTGATTCCTGGCCGCGGAATAACGTATCAGGTTTCAAGTTTCAAAGTCTGAATCTTTAATCTTCGCCTAGATGCTGCTCCGGAGATGGTTTGCAGATACGGTTTCGATCCTATTCGCCCTTCTTTCTTGCACAAACGGTACGCATTCCCTTCTCCTCATGCTTTTCGTCATTCTTCAATCTGAAAATCTCGGTTCTTATGCTGTATACATAGGAGCATTTGTCGGAGTAAACCTCGGGACCGATATTACCAAAATGCCATCTCCCTCGGACGTCGTCTCCTTACTCAAATCGCACCAAATCACTCATATCCGCCTCTACAACGCCGATAGCCACATGCTCAAGGCATTAGCCAACAGTAATATCGAAGTTATGGTCGGTGTAACAAATGATGAGCTGATCAGTATCGGGCGAAACCCTTCATCGGCGGCCTCGTGGATCAGTGAAAACGTCGTTTCTTACGTACCTTCGACCAATATAACCGCCATTTCCATCGGAAGCGAGGTTCTCACGACGATCCCTCATGTCGCCCCAGTTCTCGTCTTGGCTTTAAACAACGTTCACAAGGCTCTCGTGGCGGCTAACTTGAACTTTAAGGTGAAAGTTTCGACTCCGATGTCTATGGATATCATCCCGAAGCCATTTCCTCCGTCCACCGCGACTTTTGACTCGTCTTGGAACACGACGGTTTATCAGATTCTTCGGTTTTTGAAGAACACGGGATCGTATTTCATGCTGAATGCTTATCCTTACTATGGTTACACTACCGGAGATGGGATTTTTCCGCTCGAGTACGTTCTCTTCAAGCCGGTTTCTCCAGTTAAACAGATCGTGGATCCGAACACGCTTTTACGCTACAACAGCATGTTCGACGCCATGGTTGACGCTGCTTATTACTCAATACAAGCTCTGAACTTTTCCAAGATCCCGGTTTTTGTCACGGAAACAGGCTGGCCATGGCTCGGGGGAGGGAACGAACCAGCTGCCACGGCTGGAAACGCCGAGACATTCAACGGTAACCTGATAAAGCGAGTCATGAACGGCTCGGGACCGCCTAGTCAGCCGGATATCCCCGTCAATACATATATATACGAGCTCTACAACGAAGATAAGCGATCCGGGCCAGTTTCTGAGAGGAACTGGGGGATGTTCTACTCGAACGGTTCAGCGGTTTATCCTCTGAGCTTGAGCGGATCAGAACCCGCGGCTCTGAACGGTTCAGGCGGCGTTTTCTGCATGGCGAGAGAGGAGACAGACCCGGACAAGCTTCAGGACGGTCTGAACTGGGCATGCGGCCAAGGCCGAGCCAATTGCGCAGCCATTCAGCAGGGACAACCTTGTTATCTGCCCAACAATCTCAAGAGTCATGCTTCTTTTGCATACAATGATTATTACCAGAAGATGAGAAGTGTCGGAGGAACATGCGATTTCGACGGGACCGCCATTACCACGACAAGAGATCCTAGTAAGCTTCCTTCATTACATCATTAGATCAAGAATCACTCGTATATTCGTCGTATAATCTCTGATATTAGTTCGTCGGTCCTTGCAGGCTACGGAAAATGTATATACACCGGCAGGTAAAGATCTGCTTCGTTCTTTATCTTGGATTCCGGTGAGTTTCTGAACTCAGAAATCCCAATCTTTTTTTGTAACTTTCAGCGCAAACGCAAACGCTACGGGTGGTGGAAACTTCCCTCCGGCTGCGTTTGGACCTGTGAGTCCCTTTCGAGGAAACGCAAACGCGGTCGTGGTCTCAGGCCGCTATCTTACGTTCTTGGCTCCGTCATTGGTTACGGTGATAGCAGTCTTGATTCAGAACAACGACCGCGTTTTGTAGCTTGGTGATCACGTTTCCCGGTGGTTCCTGAACGGCGTTTTGAGTTAAACCGGAGAAGACCAGGATATGTGAAATATCGTTTTCCTTTTGGGGTTAGTTAAGAAATAGTTTTGGAATATTAAAGATATTATTACAAAATTATTGGTGTGAGGAAAAAAAGGATTATTTTTTTGTGGCTTTATTATATCTGCCAGATCAGCGAGAAATTAGCAAGTCCAATGATGAGTTCAAAACGCTGCGTTTCGACGAACCGTCGTTCGAGACGTTACGGGGTAGTGAACGTAAAAGCAGGTTTTGGATTTCGATTAGCGGCGGAGGCGGCGGCGGCGGAATGATGCCACCGGCGGAGACGGGAGGCTGAAAGGCCATTCCTAGTGGAGGAACGGGAACGGCATCGTCTTGGGTATCGAAGACCTCTGTGTCGGAGCTGAACATGGATCCACCTCCCGAGTGATCCGCCGGACCAGAGGGCGATAATCTCTGCCATTGGATCGCCACCATTATGGATCCCGATGGGTTGTGTCCTTCGATCTCTATGTGCTTGTTTTCCAGAAGATTCAATGTTGCTCCCGTTGTCGTTTTGAATTCCTTTGGCTTTGTCCTGGGTTTTTTGTTTTGACGAATGTAGAGTGACTTCCAGTTTTGAGGCGTTGATTTCAAAACCCGGTTCCTTCTAATGCTATTTCTTGTGAAAAAAGCTTCCTATTTAGGTTAGTTTCTGGTGAAGTCTTGGAAACAAATGATTGAAATAGTCAGAATTCCCCTAGCGATTCTCTCGGTGGCCAAGATGGGGCTTTTCGATTCAACCCAAGACAATATATACCGATTTGGTAATTATAAAAGAGTGAATCTTATTATCCCCACGATACCGACTTTACTGATAGTTTGTACCATTAAGGGTCGATTCTTTGTACGCCATTTAGTGGAAGCTACTAAGACTGGTAGGTTTGGTTTTTCGGAGGAATCTAAGAACCGTACAGGAGGAAAAGGGGGAAGAAAACAAGAGGGTTTGGTCCGAATTCAACTCAGTAAGTCGACTTATACAAAAGATTAAGAGCATTTAAAGACTTTGAACCATTATTTGCTTGTCTAGAGCTTTCGTGTCCGCATGATCCACCTACCACTGTTTGTGTGGTTGGTTGAACCCAAAATATTAATGAAGACGGAACCTCCAGTCTTTACAGAGAGAAAAAAGAGTCACTTTTAGAGAGAGAGAGATGTGGAAGAGCATAGGAGAGGTGGGGGTGGATGACTATGTGAATGCTGGGCTGAGCTTGGAAGAGGCAAAGAGATTCGACGAAGTGGTGAGAGATGTGATTTCGAAGGTCGAAGGGTCTGACCCAAGAGAGCAATGGAAGGCGTTGGTAGGTTCGAGTGAGCTGAGGCCATCGCACCCATATTCTCTGCATCAGCTCGTCTACTACTCTGTCTACTCAAACTGGGATGACTCCCTTCATGGCCCTCCTCTCTACTGGTTCCCTTCTCTGTACGCCTCTCTCTCTCTTTCCCCTCAGTGTTCAGTGTCCATTGATTCTGATTGGAATTCGAACTTGAGTTTCTTGACTATGGGTTGATGTTTATCTTCTGTGTATTACAGGACTGAATCGAAATCGACAAACTTGGGAAGGTTGATGGAAACTCACTGTCCTAGGCTTCTGGGTTCTTCCTACAATAACCCAATTGAAAGTTTTGGCCTTTTCCGAGAATTCTCTCTCCAACACCCTGATGTGAGATGTTTTCCATTTCAGATAATGATGCCTGATAATATTTTGTGGGGAATCCTTTTCTTCCATTTTGATTTAGTGTTTTCCAATTTCTTTTCTTCCTCAGGTTTATTGGTCGATTGTTCTTGATGAGCTCTCACTGGCATTTTTCTCTTGTCCGAGGTGCATTCTTGACACTACTGACAAATCAAAACCTGGAGGGACATGGCTTCCTGGAGCGGTTTTAAACATCGCTGAGTGTTGTTTACTTCCTTCAAGCCACCCTAGAAAGGAGGATGATAGTGTGGCCGTTGTATGGAGAGATGAAGGCTCTGATGATGACGATGATTCCCATGTCAATCGTATGACACTGAAGGAACTCCGAGAGCAAGTAATGTATGTATTATGATGAACAAATTGTGATTAATTAGGGATAAAGATTGAAACCTTAATCTGAATATGTTCAATGGCTTTGTGAAAAGCATATGATCTTGTTGCCCTTTTGCTTCAGGATGGTGGCAAAGGCATTGGCTGGAGTTTTCGCAAAGGGCGACACAGTAGCAATTGATATGCCAATGACGGTGAATGCGGTGATTATATACCTGGCCATTGTATTGGCCGGATGTATCGTTGTATCAATTGCAGACAGTTTTGCAGCTAAGGAAATTGCTACACGGTTAAGAGTTTCTAAGGCCAAAGGCATATTCACTCAGGTGTCATTTCCTGCCTTTTATGTATTCTGTCTCTCGTTTACCTTATCAGACAGTGTATTTATTCTGTTCGGGTTGCATTCTCAGGACTATATATTTAGAGGAGGTCGGAGATTTCCTTTATACAGGTGAATACAACTTTCTTTCAATCCTGCTCTAACTAGGGTTACCCGAGATTTTCGGGCAACCCCCGACCTGGTTTCCCCCTCTGGGACTTCTCAGTCAAGGGTACTCCGTCTCGGCCTCGCAAGGGTCGGGTACCCGCAAGGTCCGCCAAGGGCTCGCGAGGGTAAGTGAGGCTCGAGGCGAGAGGGAAAGATTCGAGAAGAGAGAGGAAGATTCGTGAGTGTCTAGCGGAGGACTTGAGTCGAGGGGTACCAGACCCACAATCAATCGGCTGAGCTCTCGAGCTTCCGAGATTTTGCTGTTCAGCTTTCTCTCATCGGCTCGCTTCCTCTACGCCGCGATTCTCCCCTCTCTTTGGGTTACCATGGGTTTGGGTTTTCGCTAGACAGAACCTGACCTCGAACCTAAAGCTCAGTTTTCTGTTAGTGGCTTGGGTACCCACGGGACGGATACCCATGAAACCCGTGGGTTCGAATCCCCATGCCCAGCCACAGTTATAACCTCTTCTATTAATTGGATAACATATGTTCGCTTAAACATTTCTGTTTCTGTGTAGTCGAGTGGTGGAGGCCGCTCCATCTAAGGTCATTGTCCTCCCTGCCACTGGAACTGAACTCGGTGTTCAGTTAAGAGAACAGGACTTATCATGGAATGACTTTCTTTCCAACGCAAAAAACCATCCTAGGTAAAATTTACTGTGTTCAAAACTAAAGGCTTTTGTTAGAAAAGAATGCCTTTTAGACATGGGGAACTCTCATTTGGCTGCAGAGGCGTATACTACTTTTGTCCAGCTTATCAGCCCGTGGATGCTATGATTAACATTCTCTTCTCATCTGGTACTACAGGTAAAGAATATGATCCGAGGATACAAGTAATCTTATATGGTTGAAGATATATATATATATATATATATATATGCATTTATTGATGTGTATTCTTGCAGGTGAACCGAAAGCTATCCCCTGGACGCAGCTCTCCCCGATTCGAAGTGCTTGTGATGGATGGGCGCATGTTGATATCCAGCCAGGTGATACATACTGTTGGCCTACAAATCTCGGGTGGGTAATGGGACCAACCCTAATATTTTCATGCTTTCTTGCTGGTGCGACGCTTGCTCTATATCACGGGTCTCCCCTTGGCCGCGGTTTTGGAAAGTTTGTTCAGGCAAGGCACCTTTCGTTGCTGAATTCAGACAAAGCGGGTGAGAAACATTTTGTGCTTTATGTGATTAAATGCTGTTTCAGGATGCAGGAGTTACCGTTCTGGGTACGGTTCCGAGCTTGGTGAAAACATGGAAGAGCACAAAGTGTATGGAAGGCCTTGATTGGTCAAAGATAAAGTAAATATGTATATTCCATTCTAGGAATATTCAAGCAGGGGTTGGTGCAGATTGGATACCTGAGTTTTTTTAAATATCCGACTTCGGTTTTGCTCTCTCGGGTTTCACAGTTAAACTACCCTTTCTCAGCCTCATGAAGGGTGGGTGCCCGAACTTCGGGTACTCACGAGGTGCGGTGAGGGCTCAGTTAACCGTGGAGGCGAGCGAGATTTTGGCCGAGAGGAAGAAAGGGAGGGAGGAATGAGATAGAGGAAGTAGAGAAGGGTGAACGGTGAGATGTCCAGCGAGGTGAGGCGAAAGTTCCCTCGCTCCTCGCGGCCTTCTTCAGTCTTCAGAACCCCTAGTTAGGGGTTTAATGAAAAATGGTCGGGTTTATTGAAATCGCAAAAGAAAAACTCTAACCCCTCGACCCTCGCATGGTCACGCTATTCGTCTCGCGGTCTCTCTTTGCCAAACCTCCACCCCTATTCCCCTCGACTTGACCCTCCCTCTCTCTCCGTCAACTCGGGTTAACCGCAGGTACAGATAACTGCCCGATGAAACCCGACCTCGAACCTGCGGCTTAGATTCTCCAACCCCATGTACCTGAGTTCGCTCTCGCCGGGTCTTGGGTTCTGAATTTCAGTTCCTTAACATATACCACGGGACCTGCTGGTTTGGGTATCTGTCCACCCCTAGCTTCAAGTGATCCGTTTTCTGACTCCATAAACATGGTTTTTCAGGAGTTATGCAACCACGGGTGAAGCTTCCAATGTCGATGACGATCTCTGGATTTCATCGAAATCCGGTTATAAACCCGTGATCGAATGCTGTGGTGGTACAGAACTTTCATCATCTTACATCATAGGATGCCCACTTCAACCTCAGGCTTTTGGAGCATTCAGCACTCCTTCCATGACTACTGGAATCGTCATCCTCGATGAAAATGGCTTCCCTTTCGTAAGAATTTCTCGATTTCAACGTTTATATCTGTTGCAAAGAGACTTTTTGACATCGGTTTTTGGCAGCCCGGTGATGATAAACCCTGTTCCGGAGAGATAGCTTTGTTCCCTCGATACCTCGGGGCCACAGATAGACTCCTGAATGCAGATCATGATGCAGTTTACTTCAAGGGAATGCCTTTCTACAAAGGAATGGTATAGTATTGCAGATGATGATGATCATCATCATTGCCGTCATGCATCATCATATTCTCCTTGGTTCTTTACTGCAGCGTCTCAGAAGGCATGGGGATATCGTGAAGAGAACTGTTGGAGGATATTACACTGTTCAAGGCCGAGCCGATGATACCATGAACCTTGGAGGCATCAAGGTATATATTAGATTTATTACACCTTAAGTGTCATTTTCTGAAACTTTTCCTTTTTTAAGTTTGTGATTGTTTCTGGAAAATGCAGACGAGCTCTATTGAGATTGAACGAGTTTGTGACAATGCCGATCAGTGCGTTTCCGAGACCGCTGCAATCAGCGTGGCACCGAGAGATGGCGGTCCGGAAATGCTGGCCATACTCGTGGTCTTGAAGAAAGGGTTTAAAAAGAAACCTGAAGAACTGAAGAATATGTTCTCCAGAGCTATCCAGAGAGATCTCAATCCTCTCTTCAAGGTTCGAACTCGTGTGAGATTTTTACGTTTTCGATCGAGAGAGAGAGCGATTATTATGAGGGTTTTTTTTAATGTTGCGAGAGAATTCGTGTTTTTTTGCAGGTAAGCATTGTTAAGATTGTGCCCGAGTTTCCAAGAACAGCTTCGAACAAGTTACTGAGGAGAGTTCTGAGAGATGAGATGAAGCAGGAACTGTCCGTATGGAGCAGAATCTGAACTGGAACATGTCCACGGATTCACAGTACGGAGCAGAATCTAAACTGGAACAATGATCGTAGAATCACAGTCACTGTATCTTACTTTTCAATAAATTGTTTACTTTAATCTTCGGTTTGAATAGCCAATGAATATACTATATATATATATGCGTGTATATAAATGTAAGGACTGTTATATGAGATGTGATTGTTTAATTATGTGGGTTTGTAAAACCAATACAAAAATCTCGGTTTTAAAAATGTGAAAATCATTTTCGCAAATGGTAACATCAATGGGGAGGGGGGGGGAGCCTTTAACTGAATATAAAGGTTTATGATATGATTGCAATTTGCATTTTATATCATTATAATAGTTTTGATTTAATCTAGAATTTGGTGATAAAATTATAGTGTATAAAAGAAAATAACATTTCATTTCAATACGTAACCGATCTTATTATCTCTTGTGCCTCCTGACACGGTCCCGAATTATCTCTTGTGCCTCCTGACACGGTCCCGAAGACAAATGTGAAGTAAACGTTAATAATAATATTTGTAAAATTCCTTGTCAAGTTTTAGTGTTTAGACATACTTTTAGGTCAGAAATTAAACAAATGAAAAATAAAGGGGTCAAATGTTAAACAAAAAAAGCAAAAGAGAGGGCCCCACAAAAAAGATCAACCGCATTTTCCAAAGGCCAAACCTTTTGTTCTCCTCCCTTCACTCTCTCGATTTCTTTCTCACCCCTTACTTCAAATTTTTATTTCTTCTTGTCATTTTCAGTACCGTGTCAGGGCTGGCATCTGATCATCGTCAACCTTTGTTTAATCCCCTCAATTTCTCAGTTAAACCCTAATTCATGTGAATTATCGCTCCTAATGTACCGATTTCTGGGGTTTCCTTGATGAGCAACCGTCGGAGGATTTTGTGACACGGTGGAGGGAGCGGTAAGATGGCGCGGCAAATGACTTCCTCCCAGTTTCACAAATCGAAGACTCTCGACAACAAATACGTCAGCTTAATTTCCTCAATTTTCTCGGATTTAAATCGGGGGTTGATTTCTTTTGTCTGGTTTCGTTTAGGGTTCCGTTAGCTTTTTCGGGTTTGTTCAATGGGTGATTTTGTAATTGAGATGCGGGATTGGAGTGTGAATTGTGTGGAATCGTCGGAGTTTATGCTCTTTTGTTTCTTTTTCTGCTAAAAGCTTGTACTTTACGGGGGAGATTTCCTTTACTATTATATGCACATTCCAAGAACGGTTCTTGATTTTGGGCGCAGATGCTGGGAGATGAAATTGGGAAAGGAGCTTATGGTCGAGTTTATAAAGGATTAGATCTTGAAAATGGGGACTTTGTGGCCATTAAGCAAGTCTCCTTGGAGAATATTGCTCAGGAGGATCTTAATATTATCATGGTTTGTTCCTTTCTTTTTCCAGTCTTGGTATTGCTCCGGAGGATCTTCCTCAGCATCTTACATTGTGCGAACATGTGTAGTTGCTCCTTCTTGCGTGTATTGTATTCCGTAGGCTTTAATCAGTTCGTGCAGAGCTGTTGGGCGATGTATTTTGTGGATTAGATTTTGTAAAGGAGTTTGTGATCTCATATGCTGTAGTTTTACTCATAGAGTTTGGAAGGTTGTTGGACAGCTCCAGGGGAGAGAAGGGGGTGGGATGGGTGGAAAATAGATTTCTGTTGTGCCATTTTTATCGGTTTCTTTCCTTTCTCAGTTAAATGCATTGCTGACTGAATCCTGGTTTTACATGTGGATGCTGTTCGGCTGTTGGGATGATTTCTCCAGCAAGAAATCGATCTATTGAAGGTGGCTGCTTTCTTCCACGATACTTTCTTGTTCCACGATATGTTCTTTAGCTTTAGGATGGGCATGGACCTGCAAACTGATGAGCTTTATTCAGGGTTTTGCATTCACCTCGGTGAAGGGCAATAGGCTGTATAACATTTCTTTTGTCCTACTTGGGATAGAGGTTGTTTTTGTCTCTGTTGTTGAATGGAGTATATAACTGTTTCATATGTAGGCTACATTGATGCTAAGTATGCTGGAACTGAAGTCAAATCAATCACCATTTTAATTGCCGCATTTTTGTTCCTCCTGATTTCTTAGTTCTGCGGGTAAAAGATTTATCTCTCTTTCCCCCATCTAAGATGATCTTTTCAATGCAGAACTTGAACCATAAAAACATTGTGAAATATCTTGGGTCATTGAAGACAAAGACTCACCTTCATATTATTCTGGAGTAAGTAAGTTTGTCTTCACTTTGGTTCTTTTGGGCTATCGTTTGGAAACTGAAGTGGTGCTTGTGGTTTGCAGGTATGTTGAAAATGGCTCACTTGCAAACATTATAAAACCAAATAAATTTGGACCTTTCCCAGAATCGCTGGTAGCAGTTTACATTGCTCAGGTCAGTATATATATCCTTCTAGTGAAATTATTCTTTCTGTACCGTGTACTAATTAGTGAAATAGGTCTTGGAAGGCTTGGTATATCTGCATGAACAGGGTGTGATTCATCGCGATATCAAGGGTGCGAACATTTTGACAACCAAGGAGGTGTGATTTGCTATTCCTTCTGAATCTTAATAGTTAATTTGGTACATGTCATTTCTGGGAATAGGGAGATAGCCTCTGCTTGCTCTTATGCTGTTTTGGGTATCTTTAATTCTTATTTAATTCAAGATGTATTGTGTTCTGTGAATTTGGAGATGCATAAGATTCTCTTAAGTTATACACGAGACATGCTTGACTATCTTAATACCTCAGGGTCTTGTCAAGCTTGCTGACTTTGGAGTTGCAACTAAACTAAATGAGGCTGATGTCAACACTCATTCAGTAGTAGGAACTCCATACTGGATGGCCCCAGAGGTGCATTTTAATGAGATATGTATTTACCATTAGGATATTTTGCAAAGGTCTATGTTAAAGTCGTAATGGTCCTTTTTTTTTTTGCTTTGCTGGCATGTTTTGTGTTGTTCTCTCTTCTATAGAATTCTTACCTGTGTGTTTATCGAGATTCAAATTCTGTTTCAGGTTATTGAAATGTCCGGAGTTTGTGCTGCTTCTGACATTTGGAGTGTTGGGTGCACAGTTATCGAGCTTTTGACGTGTGTGCCTCCTTACTATGATTTGCAACCCATGCCGGCCCTCTTCCGTATTGTTCAGGTTTTGTCAATGTCTTATGAGTTCGTTTGAGCCAAAATGGATTTTAGCTGCTTCTTTATTCCCTTTTTCTGTTATCCTAACTCTTCCTTGTATATAGTTTCTCTCCTTGAATAATGCAAAAGCTGTAAGCAGGAAGCGGCTCACGCCCTTTCTTTCATGTTCTTTTATTCAGGATGACCACCCTCCGATTCCTGATAGCCTGTCTCCAGACATTACTGACTTCCTGCGTCAGTGCTTTAAGAAGGTGATTTTGGATTTAAAGTTTGATATTTGTTACTGTTTACTGTTTAGGCACTAGCCTTTTTCCTGTCCGCCTCTTTTCTGAAACCTGGACACTTTTAGTTTATTCAAAATCCGGTGGATACATTGATTTCTATCTTCATATTACAGGATGCTAGGCAGAGGCCTGATGCTAAGACACTGCTTTCTCACCCCTGGATACGGAACTCTAGACGTGCATTGCAGTCATCACTCCGTCATAGTGGAACTCTCAGGTGAGAACCTGTAAATTTTTATGCTAATTTCTGTAGTAGAATTTCAAACTTTATTATCTTATGTTAAAGTTAGTTCAAGTTCACTTTGTTTCACTAAACTAAAAATTTCTTCCTTGGGAAATTTCATTTCTGCAGATATATTCAGGAAGCCTCTGCAGAATCAGAAAGTGCTGATGAAGATGGCCAAGGTGCAACTGAAACCCTTCCAGCGGTAAAACTGAGTATATCAAAAACTGTGAGATTTTTCAGTCATATTTTAATTTTGAATTTACGATTAGTCAAAATTTCAAAGATGAAGATAAGAAGAAGTGAGAGCTACCTTTTCATCCTGGCACAATAGGGATGAGCTTTGTTAAAGCTACTCATTCGAGCCCTTATTTTTCATCAGAAATCGAAAAGCAAATTACATCTTGAGGAGGTTGCAAGTTTGAGATCGGACAAGGATCAATCCTTACCCAGTGATCTTGATGATGAACGAGCAGATAATTCGGAAGATGGTCTAATGTCAGATCAGGTTCCTACATTTTCTATTCACGGGCAATCGGCCCTTCAATCTGGCTCTAGCTTAGTCTCTTCAGATGCAAAGATGCCTTCTCAAGATTTATCAGAGTATCATGGGAAGTTTGACCATGATGAAACACCTGAAAATGGTGAAGTGGAAACTTCTGAAACAAGGAGAAATATTGTAGGAACAAAACAGGTGGAAAAAGAAAGTTCCTTCCTGGCTGAACAGGCATCACGTGGTTTTGGACAAAAGGGCCAAGATCGTGGTCTTCACAAGGTCGGTCTCATCCTATTACTCTTTCAGATAATATGCCCAATGATAAGGGAAATGCTATTGTTTATGTGTTGGGTTGAGTGATTAGTTCCAAAGTTTCTTAGTGATCATAACAAACAGTCTGTGTTTTACTTTTTAGTTTTTTGCTTTGCAAATTCCATAACCTCATACTCTGATGTTTCTCACTGGAACGAGTTTGTGTTTCGTGACCTGGTCATGATTAAGCATCTGAATTCTTTGTATGATTCTTCTAATGATGCATGTACTAATTGTAACAGGATTCTAGATTTCCATAGTTGGGTGAATGTATTCATATTAAGTGCTTTAATTCAAAATAACCCCTTTTATTAAGGGAAGGTACTAAGATGATGTTTTCCTTTGTTGTTTCTACTTTGAAGACTGTGAAGACTCCATCAAATGTTGGAGGGAATGAACTGACTAGATTTAGTGATCCTCCTGGAGATGCTTCTTTGGATGATCTGTTTCATCCATTGGATAAAGGTACTGAACGAAAACCAAATGAAGCCTTAACATCTGCACCCACATCAAATGTCAACCAGGACGATTCTCCTGTGGCCGATGGTGGAAAGAATGACTTGGCCACAAAGTTGAGAGCTACAATTGCTCAGAAACAAATGGAGGGTGAAACTGGGCAGTCAAATGATGGTGGTGACCTTTTCCGCTTGATGATGGGTGTTCTAAAGGATGATGTTATAGACATTGATGGTTTGGTATGTCTTGAATAAAATATGCAGGTTTGATAATTTGAATAGTACCCTATATAACATTTCTTTTGGTGTATTTTTTCTCAGGTATTTGATGAAAAATTGCCTGCGGAGAATCTCTTTCCTCTGCAGGTATTCAACAATTTTATACCTTGAGACTCCTGCAATCTGTTGGCATTCTGTATAATGCTGTTGTAGACTTTGATCAAGTCACATATTGTTCTAAGTGAGGAAATATTTGGGGAATTGTAGGATAATGTTGGATTTAAAACTTTAGCTTCTGCTCCTTTTTGCTGTTACATGTTTTCTAGTGATTTGCATATTTTGGTATTTATTTTCGATTTATTTGATAGGCAGTCGAGTTTAGCAGATTAATGAGCTGTTTGAGGCCGGATGAATCAGAAGATACAATAGTATCTACCTGTCAAAAACTTATTGGTATATTTCGTCAAAGATCTGCGCAGAAAGCTGTTTTTGTTACACAGCATGGTTTCCTGCCTCTAATGGATCTGCTCGACATTCCTAAATCTCGTGTAAGTTTATTCGTGAGAGGCAGGTTTGTTGTCTTTCATCATCAGTAGTCATCAACTTGCTGCAATTATCAACTGGAATATGGTTGGGATAACATTTTTTGGCGTTTACAGGTTATATGCTCCGTGCTGCAGCTGATAAACGAAATCATTAAAGATAACACAGACTTCCAGGAAAATGCTTGTCTTGTTGGCCTTGTAAGTCTTTATCTTACGAACTTAGTTCTGTGATTGTCGAGTTACCAGATAGTTCCTTGGTATAGTTGTCTGGGTGTTTCAAATCAATTTCATGATAATCGACTGTAGTGATCAAAGGTGGGATATCCACGTGGCCTGTCAAGACTAGTTGGGTGGTTGTACAGTTTATCCATGGTGTTCTCACCTTGTTTCCAAGTTCATGAATTAACTGTTGCTCTGTAACTAGTCATCTGTAGTTTTTTCCTGTTATGACTTCAAAGGTACTATGAGCGTTGATTATTCCAAGTCAAATGTCAGATACCTGTTGTCATGAGTTTTGCTGGTCCTGATCGGGATCGTTCGCGAGAAGTTCGTAGGGAAGCGGCCTATTTCTTGCAGCAGCTCTGTCAATCAAGGTTGTTATGGGTTTCCTCATGTTTTTGTTGCTTTTCTTCATTTATCTGCTCTAAGGCTTGAGTTGACATGAAAACTTCTTTTCAGCTCGTTGACGTTGCAAATGTTCATTGCTTGCCGAGGCATACCCGTTTTGGTTGGATTCCTTGAAGCTGATTACGCAAAATACAGGTTTGTACTCCTTGCACTATCCTTTTGTGGTGACCAGGTTTGTTTTCCTAATTTTTTTTCGTGTTAGCATATTAATTGAAAAGATTATTACAAGGTTCTAATGGAAGGGCTGGCTTGGCTCACGGTAAGATTACTTGCCGTGAGGTCTGAGGTCGTAGGTTCGAATCAGCCTCTCTGCATAAAAAGCAGGGGTAAGGCTGCCTAGTATATTCTCTTCCCCAGCACCCCCACCAGGTGGGGACTCAAACTGGGTTGGTCCTATTACGAGGTTTGTGGTGCCTGCATAGGGTCATGCCGATTGCTTTTTTGTTAGTCTTAGGCAGCATTCAGCTCTGATTATCCTTCTATTCTTATGAATCTTTGTGCATAATCTCTGGTGTGCATCCTAGTTGGAGAACAACAATCACGATTTCTCACTGCATGACCATTTTCTTTGTTTAGAACTTCTGTTTTTTAGCTACCTCAGTATATTTTACCCCTTGCTGTTATTTATGTTCATTGTAAACTATTCTGATCCGAGCTTTTATGTCCAGGGAGATGGTTCACTTAGCGATTGATGGGATGTGGCAGGTATTTAAGCTCCAGAGATCAACCCCGAGAAATGACTTCTGTCGTATAGCTGCAAAGAATGGAATTCTGCTTAGATTAATCAACACTCTGTACAGCTTGAATGAGGCGACTCGATTGGCTTCTATATCAGGGGGCACCTTGGCTGTGGATGGTCAAGCTCCACGGGCACGCTCTGGTCAACTTGATCCTAATCATCCTATTTTTATTCAAAATGAGCTATCACTCAGTGCTATTGATCAGCCTGACGCATTGAAAACTAGACATGGAGGTGGTGAAGAGCCTTCTCGTGCTTCTACTTCACAATCCCAAAGATTAGACGTCAATCAGCCAGATCCCAGACACCCAGACGGTGAGAGGCCCAGATCGAGCAGTGTTGCACCAGAGGCTTCAACTTCAACTGCAGAAGTTGATGTTAGACAGCAGAGGATATCCCTCTCTGCCAACAGGACATCTACAGACAGGCTTCAGAAGTTGGCGGAAGGTGCATCTAATGGTTTTCCGAGCACGATCGCCTCTCAACCCGAACAAGTTCGGCCTTTGCTTAGCTTGCTGGAGAAGGAACCTCCTTCCAGACATTTTTCTGGTCAACTGGATTATGTGAAGCACATCACTGGTATAGAGAGACATGAAAGCATACTTCCCCTTCTGCATGCGACAAATGAGAAGAAAACTAATGAAGAGCTAGATTTTTTGATGGCTGAATTTGCAGGTAATTTCTAATGTTCAACTGGCCATTTATCGTCCTTATCTTCAAGAACAATGTCTGGCATTCAGTTTAGGTTTACAAATTCACAGGATATGTATCTTCGAGAGTCTATATTTAGGGGCTAAAATTGGGGCGTAATATATTTTCTTTGGGCATGCTTGTCAATTTCTTGATTTTGTTTTAGGATGTGGCTAGATGGAAATGTCATATTTGGTGTAGCTGATTCTGCCGTTGGCATGTGTTTTGAATTATTTTTTCTTCATCTTATCATTACATTGTTTCTTCAGAGGTCTCTGGGCGTGGAAGAGAAAATGGTAATCTTGATACCACAACTAGATATTCCAGTAAAACAGTGACAAAGAAGGTTGCAGCTACTGAAGGAGCTGCTTCTACATCTGGGATTGTATCTCAGACGGCATCTGGAGTACTCTCAGGTTCAGGTGTTCTAAATGCTAGACCTGGTAGTGCCACATCATCCGGTTTACTTGCCCACATGGTTTCAACACTGAATGCGGACGTTGCCCGGGAGTACTTGGAGAAAGTGGCTGATCTCCTCCTCGAATTTGCTCGGGCGGATACAACAGTAAAATCATACATGTGTAGCCAAAGCTTGCTTAGTCGTCTTTTCCAGATGTTCAACCGTGTAGAACCTCCTATCCTTCTGAAGGTACTGTAAATGTTGTGATATATTTTTTTATATGGATGGTTCAATGGTCTTTGTTTTGCACACCTACTGTGTTTTTGTCTTGCTCAGTTACTAGAGTGCATCAATCACTTATCCACCGATCCAAATTGCTTGGAGAACCTTCAGCGGGCAGATGCGATTAAGCATTTGATCCCCAACCTCGAGCTTAAGGATGGGCCTCTTGTGTATCAAATCCACCATGAGGTTACCTTCTTCACTTGCATATAAAAGCAGTATATCTGTAGGTTGGAAAGATTGGAGTTTTGATCCTTATTGATTCACGGGTCTTTTTGGAAATAGGAATCATGCAAAACGAAAGTCATTTGAATTATAAGCCTTAAATGAACTTGGTTTCTGCTTTTCCATTTTTGTAGTTTACCCCAGGGGCTGATGTATCTGCTTACACTTTTTCTGAAGGTGCTTAGCGCGCTATTCAACCTGTGCAAGATAAACAAGAGGAGACAGGAACAAGCGGCCGAAAATGGAATCATACCGCACCTGATGCATTTTATAATGACGGATTCTCCTCTGAAACAGTATGCATTACCGCTACTGTGTGATATGGCGCATGCATCTCGTAATTCGAGAGAGCAGTTAAGGGCCCATGGTGGTCTAGATGTATACTTGAGCTTGCTGGACGATGAATTTTGGTCTGTGATAGCCTTAGATTCAATTGCTGTCTGCTTGGCTCATGACAATGACAACCGAAAGGTGGAGCATGCTTTGCTTAAGAAGGATTCTATCCAGAAACTGGTTAAATTCTTCCAGAGCTGTCCAGAGAGACACTTTGTGCACATATTGGAGCCATTCTTGAAGATTATCACGTATGTGGTTTTGAATTCATACTCTGTTCAAGTGTTATAACACGAAATCATTGAATCTGTTTCATATGTCCATGTGTAGTGAATGGACAAGGGCTTCTCGTGTTTTTTCTCATCTAATCGTTGAATTCCATCCATGGTGCAGGAAATCATCTCGAATCAATACAACCTTAGCTGTAAATGGGTTGACTCCTTTACTTATCTCGAGGCTGGACCACCAAGACGCCATTGCTCGGCTTAATCTCTTGAAACTTATCAAGGTTGGTTGTGCTGCTTTCCCCTTATGTAGGTTTAGGATATTATGGTTAATACAACTGTTTTTTTTTTGTTGAGAAAACGAATAGCTTAGATGGTATAATATGTCTTAACATAAGACAACAACACCTCTTGGGATTTGTCCCATGGTTTCAGGCTGTGTATGAGCACCATCCACGGCCAAAACAGCTAATTGTAGAGAATGACCTCCCTCAGAAACTGAAAAACCTCATAGAGGAACGGCGAGATGGACAGCGTTCAGGAGGACAAGTTCTTGTTAAACAAATGGCTACATCTCTTCTCAAAGCCCTTCACATCAACACTGTCTTATGAAAAATCCATCCTTTGTCCATTTTACGAATCTTTCTCCTGAGTGTATATTTTGTTCCGATTCCTTTTTTGAGGAAGATTTAGCGATGATTGTCGCTTTTGTCAACTGTATATTTCTCAGATTTCGAACCATACAAACACCAGGAGATGGCAGAGGTCGAATCTAAGGCTTTGTAATGGAAGCGGTGGTGGTTGTCTGGTGGCTCTGCTGTTTTTAGGCCCCCAAGAGCTGCCGACAACTCAGGTTTTGTGGTCTGTTTTTCTGTCTCTTGCTTGGTGTGGAAGTTACCTTTTTAGGTTTGTAATATGCGTGGGCTCTACGTAACATGAAATGTGACGTGAACGTGATTGTGTTGAATCCTCACCAGTGAGCCTGTGTTATGAAGTGTTTGTTTGCAAACTCCGTTGTTTGGAAGGTGAGGAAAGGCTATAGTTTGATAGATAAATTTAGGGTTGGGCATGTGGGTGGGTATCCGAAATTCGGAAATTCAAACCGCAATGAGTGAAAGGTCATATCTTTTGTTAGTGAAAACTTGAATCCCGGGTTTGAATTTGAATTTGGGGAGAGAAGATAAGTCGACGAGAAGGTGAGACAGTGAGGGTTGAGAGGTCGGTAGAGGAGGCGGTGGTGAATTGTTCTCGACTACATCATTTTCGGGGCAAGTCTTTCCTTGGGCTTTTCAACTTTTTTTGTCCCACGAAGCCCAAACCAGATATTTTGACCGCAAAACTCAACAGGTTTGTCGGCCATATCTAAAGCTTGAGTGCCAATCCGACCGAGGTCGAGGTCGAGGTCGAGGATTGACCCCCCTGCATAGATTTGCATCATCCGAGTTTTAAAATCTAACGAGCCGTCCGTCAATCAATCCTGGTTTTATAAAACCGGTCGCACCGGTTAGACTTCTGGTTTAACCCAACCCAACGCGTTTGAAACTTTTTGGTTTCATGGATTTTCAATTTGTTCTTGTTATATTGCGGATCATCGTGCGCCCAACGGAAATTTTCCTCCCCGTCATCGTCGCCGTTCCTTGCAGTGATTTCTCTCCGGCTACCGTTTTCCTCGTTCAGCGAATGTGTGTTCTTCTTCGCGGCTAGACGCAGGTACCAAGATCTTCACCAGTTTCTGATTGTGTTTCTATAGCTCCGAATTTTGTTCTCTTCTTTTTGGTTGCCAAGAAACTGTCGATGGAGTGCTACTAGTTGAACTGTTCGTGTTCGTGTTCGTGTTCGGAATTTTCGTCTGGGGTTGCCTCTCTGTTTCTATATTCTTCTTAGTTTCCGCTTTCTGAAATTCTCGTGTTTAGGGTTTTTATTGTTTACATCAGATTTTGAGCCCTTTTCAATTTTTATTGGAGTTTGAACGGGTTGGGAATGTGAGAGCATTTGGATAATTGTTTATCACTATTTCTCGAAGTTGAATTTCTTGTTATTTTCAGAATTATCGCCATAATTGTCAGCTTCTTTTCTTGTAGGTTTTACTATGAATTTTGGGTCCGCAATGATTTGTAGCCTGAAAGTGCAGTAAAGGATTGGAGAATTTTCATCAAGGTCTAATAAACATTTTCGTTATGTGGACTAATGTTTTCAGAATTGTAAGTTCCTCTACTGATGTTTTCCTAATCCTTCCACATAGTATGTATATCGCTTTCTTTGTCAGGAGGCTTTGGATCTTTTCGGTATGTTGAGTCACTGACTCGCCGTTCTGGTGAATTTGGTGAAGCTCATACATTTTTGTATCACGTGAGAAACTTCAGTGAGTTGTTTGGATTCATCTGGTGTTCTAGGATTAGTTTTTTTGTGCTTCACAGAAAATAAATTCCAGGAAGCATTTGTTTTCAAGTATGACTCAATAGGTCACAATCTTTGTAAATGCCTGTTTCATTGGATTGAGCATCTAATTTGACATCATTTAAAAAATGAAGCTACGATAAGGGGAATCGATTCTATGTTCCGTCGCATTTTCTGATGGACTATAAAATAGATCTTTATAATCAACTGATTTTTGGGTAGTTGGTTTTGGCTGGTTCAATTATTCTCTTCTGGTTCATATCTGTCATCTTAAAAAATTGATTTTTTTTTTTTAAGTTTACGCATTTAGAGTATGATTATATCTCATGTGTCTCCATGTACAACCTTGTATTATTTAGGTGTGCAGTGAAATTCAGTGTGCTACTATTATCAATATTCTTTTTGCATATCATCAGAAAATGTTATTTGGTTAGGAATAGGCACTCCATTAGTGTTTTTCCTGTGTTTCGCATATGGATTGGACAAATTAATCTCAAAATATAAGGTTAACCTGATAACTTGATGTTCTGTATTGACCTCAACAAGACTTGTGTAATAGGAGGTTTTGCTACAGCTTTTGATATTATTGATTTTTTCAGGGTGGTCTTCATAATGTATCATGGTTTCAGTTTCTCCCAAGTGAATCCGAGCTGCCATCTCCTGATAGAAGGTTAGACTGTGGACTTTATGAAATTCTTTATTGACAGGAGGGAAGTAATTAAACAAATTCAGTTTATGTAAGGAGAGTGTACTGATTGTTTACTGTTTCTATTGGGATTGTACAGTTCTAGAGCTGAACAGAATGATGTTGCAATATATCTTGTGCTCTCATCTTATCTACGGTTGCAGAAGGAAGGCTTTCTCAGCACATGGACAAATTCTTTTGTTGGACCCTGGGATCCATCTCAAGGTCTACACAACCCTGGTAAGCGGAGTTCTTGTGGTATTTAATCTTAACAGTTTTTATTTGGATCTGTATATTATCTTCTTCGCTGTCTGTCCCAGATGAAAAGATCAAGCTTTGGCTCTTTATCCCTGGGCGGCATGCATCTGTTACTGAAAATGCTCAGTCCGCAATCTCAAAACTTAGAGGTAGTTTGCCTTTACTGTTTGTTTCTCCATGATAGAAAGTTTCATTACATCCACAAACAAACACATGCATATTGTATCTGTTCCGATCTGACTTTTTATAGTGTTAAGTGCTGTGATACGTGGCTCTTTTAGTATTTACGTCTTTACTTTACTGTTTGTCTTTTGAAAGTTGTTGCGTCAGGATTTTGGGTGGCTCCTGGGGATTCCGAAGAGGTTTCTGTTGCCCTTTCTCAGGCATTGCGTAATTGCATTGAAAGGTTAGATTCTGCTGAATTCCCAGCGTAAAGGATCAAAGCACCTATCGTGACTGGTATCGTATTGGTATGACAGAGCAATACTTGGACTTTCCTACATGAGGTTTGGAGATGTATTTTCCAAATTCAGCCCTTCTCAAAGCAAAGAATATTTCAGGTATCCTTTAGTTTTTGGTTGGGTATCACTGTTGAAAAGAATATCAAAATCATATGATTTATTTGTGCATTTAGTAGAGCTTCTGTCCTCTAATCAGGTTTTTAGCATTGTGCAAAGTGTTCTTCAGCACCAGTGAATATTTTTCCTTTTTAAAGGCATGACCCTTTAATAGATATAACAACGTTGATATTGAAAAGCCTACTTTTTGTCTTTCTGTTACTTTGTTTAAGCTACTTGGTCATTTTTAGCTGTATTATAGGAGCTGCCTATCTTGCATTGTCTCTGTCATTGGAAAGAGATGTTTTTTTAATACTATACTAGTTGCCTGGATTGATCAAGAAAAAACTGTGGAGACGAGAAACTATGTCGTATGTGACTGTATCTGCTATCTACTACTGTAACAGTTGCAATTGGAGGCCAAATGTTATGAGCTTTGAGTTTCTTTGTATTATTGAATCATTATTCCTTTCCTTAAATGAACAGCACTTTCTGTTCTAGCTTTTACTTGTCTCTTATTCTTCTTTCGTTCACTTTCATGTTTTGAAGAGTAAAAAATGAGGGTCTTCATTAGCAGGTAGTTATTGTTGTATACGTTCTCCTGAGATTCTATTTTATTTTCCCTAGGTCTACAAGATTTGGGTTTCCAAGCTTTATATAACAGCTAACGCTAAGATAATTTTATATAATATATATGTATGTATGTATGTATTTGTGTGTGTTGTGTGTTTGCTACAACCTACAGTTGAATTTGGATTATCTCATGGTTGAATCTTTTTTGATATTATGTAGGAGGGGGCAACCTACAGTTGAATTTGTCTTTGCTACAACGGAAGAGGCAATTTTTGTCCATGCCATTATAACTGCCAAGTTCGTACCTATTCTAATGTTGGTTTTGTTTGAGATTATTGTTCATGGTCCTGCATATAGTCACTAGACTAACACTTAAATCAATGTTCAAAGGAACGTTCGGACACTTTCAAGTGGAGATTCTGAAAGAATATTACGGAGTTCGTTGAAAAATTCCGGATACAAGCTTCCGGGTTAGTTATAAAAAGTTCTTCTCCTTCATTATTAGCTGGATACCTTTACAAATAGAAACTAGAGAATTGATGGCTCCTAGTGGTAAATCTTGTCACCTAATAGTGAGGTTCCGATCCCTTAAGTTTTGAATGTTGAACAAGTGTTTTCAACTAATATTTAACGTCGTCTTTATACAGCCCTGGGAATTTTAGGATATCAACCAGATACTTAGGCCTACCTTCTCATGTTGGTCAAGGATCTGGTAGTCCGATGAGTAGCCGGAATTGCTATGTGGAGGTTATGCTTGGTTGTTGTCAATCGAATACAAGGGACACCTTTCCAAACTTTACCACGAACTTACCCATGAATCATTACCCTGAATATTCCGTAGGGAGTAAGGGCAATCAGAAGGTGTTACCAGACCGCTTTTCAGCATATGAGAAAAGGTTCATATATCCAGCCGAGGCAGTGCTTGTACCAGTCTTGCAGTCAACATTTCCTAGATTTTCCTTGAAAAGGTAACCAGATTTGACTTCTATCTGCTTAGTCAATTTCTTCACGGCAAGGTCCAGATTGGTTGTTGATGTTGACTAATGTAGTCGATTTGGGGTTTCCAAGTGCCGTCTATTGCATACATACTTCTTGGGGTAATATAACTTCCCTGAGTGATTGGTTGCCTTTTTTTTTTCTGTGCAGTAGTTTACATGAAATATGTTTTGGGTCCTTGTTAAATTTGTCCACAATTTGGTCTCTGCATGGATGTGCATTTGTGCATTCATTGTAGTTTGACCAAGTCACTTATAATTTTAAGGATTGTCTGAGGTCCATGTTATATAGCCCCAACCTATGAAAGATCCACTGCTTGTTGCCTCCCTTCAGCTTGGTCCTGATGTGACGTGGATTCATGTATGCAGATTTTGGCTTCAAAACTGGATAGGACCGTCGTTAGCAGGCTCATCATTATTTATGCACTGGTATGTTTATTCTTTATCCTAAAGCAGATTTGTTATTAAGTTGTCGTTTTTAAAATACCGGAGCACTACATTTATATTTTGTACATTGAAAACAACCAACGAGACTATTTGGCAATGATATTTTGTACATTGGAAGCTACAGGAGCATAATGACAGTCATGAGTCACACTGTTTGGCAATGATATTTTTGGCATTTTTTGATTTATATTCAAATAAAACAAGGCTGTGATCAAACAATGCAATTCATAGTGATATAACTTTTGCACTTTTAGATTAAGTGTTTTTTATGCATGGCGCTTGCAGATAGAGCAACTGTTAACTACATATGGGAGCTTTCTATTTTTCCATGCAAGTGTCAATAGAATGTATTACTGATGGTGCAACGTGACAAGAAGGCATCTCAGTACGTGCTTCCTGAAAATTGATACTTTTTTATATGTAGGGCTGGTGATTTTGATTTCCTTGGGGTGTCTGGAAATAAAAGTGGTGGCTTCTACATGCCAAATGGTTATAGTAGCAGTGGCAGCAGCAATTGTAGCAGCATTAGTTCGACAAGTAGCACTTCTAGTGAGAGTGATGGCAAGATAACCTCAAGAACTGGTGAACTTGTGGCAGATGCAGATTCTGGGATATGTAGGCAATCAGGTCTATCTTCTAATGATCAGCTGGACTACGATGGTCAGAAAATGGTATGGCTTTAATGTTTATGAAGGGTGGAGATTTAGCACGACACTAATGAGAAAAATGAATTGGTGGTGATAGCATTTGCTTGTGCACTACGATAGATCACACATTTAGTGTTTTGCCCTTGTATACCATGGTTGATTGGCATAATTAATAGCTTATTTCACCATGCAGGGTTCTAAGCGGCCCCGAACAGGGATGGAAGAGTCATTCGGTCAAGTAGGTACAGTCACTAGTGCAACTTTGCAAGGACACAAAACAGGATTAAGTTCCACTGAAGCTGATATAAATAAATACATTGGTTGTTACAGGCATGGCAAACGATCAAGTTGGTTGGGACTGGGATAATGATGATAGAGGAGCTGGCATGGATATCCAAGCTCTTCTATCTGAGTTTGGAGACTTTGGTGACTTCTTTGAAAATGATGCTTTGCCTTTTGGGGAGGTAATACCCACATTTTGTTATTTATAGTATTCCAGGAACCTTGTAATTCTGTCATGTGGAAATAAATTATTCTGTTTTATCATAGAAATTTTATTCCAGAATCTTAGATGGGCAAGTCCTGAAAGCTTTGTTGATATCTAGAATTAGCTTCAGGGATGTTCTCTTTTTATGTGGTGTTGGGAAAAATGGCTTATCTAGTTTTCTCCATGTATCTTAAACTCTTGTCGACTTTGGTATTTGATACTTCCCTGATGAGCACCTGATGATGTTCTGTTTTTCCAGCCTCCAGGGACAGCAGAGTCACAAGCACTAATGCTTCCTCCAGATTGCGCAGATGTAGATTCTAGTCCTGTGGGTATGATGGATGTATCGGACCAGATGCTTTTGCCTGTAGGCTTCCCATCCTTTGAGAGCTTTAATCCTGTCCCCCCTGTCATGGATGAGTGTCTTGACAAAAGTCAAGAAGTCCTCGCAAACAGTGTCGTGTCTGCTCCTTTAAGCCAATTGCCAGCCTCTTATACTGGCGAGTTTGATCATTTGATGAAAGAAGAGGCTATGATGACCTTTGCTCCAGAGTATGGGGCTGTAGAAACTCCCACGAGTGAGATATCTTACACCTCTTTCAAAGGCTCCTATCTTCCTCAATCTCGTAAAGTGGAACGCTCAAATCCAAGGACAAATGACCATGTATATGATGCTACTCCACCTTCCATTGCTACTGATGGATCAGAGGATAAGGTGATGCTTGGATCAAAAGCATTAATTGGTAAATACGATGGACCAAGGAAGTACTACACTCAGGTAGAGGGAAGCAAGGAGCAAAATGATAAGCGGACTACTACAAACAGTGATGCCAGTAGAAAGGAGGGTGTTTCCCAATCTCAGTTCTCAAATTATAGTTCTGCTGGTTCTATCAAAACTGTACCGGGGAAAAGGACAGATCGCACATCTGCTGCAAGTAGTATTTTGTTGTCTTCAAAGACCTTGCTGGCAACTGGTATTGAAAGCATTATGTACCAAGCTTTCATGTGTAGAATGCGGCACGCGGTCATTTCTCCAAATCACAGTTCACCTTTTAGTTTGACCAGGTTTAATGCAAATTCTTTTCTTACCCAGATGCCCACTGAGCCTAGTACTCTGTCAGACAACACATCTATTATGATAGAGATGAAGAAGAAAGACATACCTACCAGAATAGCTGGCGATCTTGATGGAGGAATGCTAGATAGTCACATGAGTGCACCAGTTGGTGTGTGGCGTACTGTGGGGGCCCCAAATGCAGCAAAACCTGCTGATTCACCAAATGTTGAAGCAGGCTCATCATTGACCCCATAGTTCTTTTAACGAAGATAACTTACTTTCTTATGGTCAAAGGCAGCCTCTTCAGGAACTCCTTGACGGTATAGCGTTACTTGTACAGCAAACTACTTCGTTTGTTGATTTAGCACTGGATTCAGACTGTGGTAATGGACCTTACGGCTGGCTTGCACTAAACGAAATGTGGAGACGTGAACTTTCTTGTGGCCCATCAAGTATCCATGCAGGTTGTGGGGGGACTCTGGCCTCTTGCCATTCTCTGGACATTGCTGGTGTCAAGCTAGTAGATCCGCTTTCAGTTGAGGTAAACTTTTCAATCCTATAGGATCAGTTCTGATGTATAATAAGTGATTGTAAATCTCTCACGTAAGCTGTGAGCCTTATTTCAACATTAATTTTGACTATTTTGACCAGAGACCTTACTCCTGTTCTTTTTTTTTTTTCTCATTTCCAGATTCTTCCTTCATCTGTAATCAATCTGCTGCAATCTGATATTAAAACAGCTCTTAAAACTGCGTTTAGCCAGTTGGATGGCCCATTAACTGTCACAGATTGGTGCAAAGGCCGCAATCCATCAGGGGATGGAGGTGCCATTCCTGAAGGATCTACTGCTGAGTCAGCAGTTAGTGAGGGTAGGAATTCAAATTATGATACTTGAGCGATATTCTGCTGGATCACCATTGTGCTAAACTCAACTTATATTTCATGCATGTTCAGCATATTCTTGACAATTTTTTTAAAATGCATTTTGGCATAAATGCAGTTTCTAATGCTTTAGATGGCGGAAAATTAGATGACACAGCTCAGAGCCAAGATGTCTACAGCTCAGAATTACTCAGACCGACACTTTTTGTTCTTCCTTCACCTTCTATACTTGTTGGGTATGTGTCCACAAGTCTGTTTGGTGTGTTAGTAGTTGGAGGGTGATAGACTTATACTCATAGACATGGTATTGATGAAAATGCTCTTGTGAGATCATTATGAGCTTGGGCAGGAGTCATTATGGCCTTTGTTATTCTAAGTTTTTTCTTATTATATGCCAAGGTGTGCTGTCTATTTGGTTCAGACAGTTCAGATTTTCTTTAACTTTTGTGCTCCTTTCCTCTGTGACAGATACCAGGATGACTGGCTTAAAACGTCACCAAATTCCTTGCCTCAGTGGGAAAAGGCCCCTTTTGAGCCCTACGCTCTGCCAAAAAATGTGAGTTTTAGTAATTCCTTGCTTTATTTGAATCCTTCTCTCAGAGTTGCATTTGTTTTCACAAAGTTATATCCATTGACAATCTTTTCTATTCAGATATTTATGTCTTTCTTTGTTACTTCTTGCAGGTTAGTTATACCGTAGTATGCCCAGACATTGATCCTCTAATCTTTGCTGCCGCTGATTTCTTCCAGCAACTTGGTACTGGTGAGTCAACTATCTTATCAATACTGAAGGGGTGGTATGTAACATTGTTGGTGCTGGTTCTTGTTAAGATCGTTTTTGTGAAAAACACTCTAGTTCAAATATTCCAGTGGTCTGTCTTATTGTATACCTTTCTCTGTATAGTTTATGAGACGTGCAGGCTGGGAACCCACTTGCCCCACAGTGTTGGAAATCAAATGGAAATAGACTCTGGGAAGTTGTCGGCATCCGGTTTTGTTCTGCTTGATTGCCCTCAGTCGATGAAGATTGAAAGCAATAATACGTCACTTCTTGGATCGCTAAGTGATTATTTTCTGTCTTTGTCAAATGGGTGGAATGTAACAAGCTATCTGAAATCTTTATCAAAAGCACTAAAGGGACTTAAGCTTGGATCTTGCCTACACATGAACCAAAAGGAAGGAACTGGGAGTTCTTGTATGGTAAGCATGTGTTGGAGAAACGGTGTTTTGCTGATGACTTCAATGCTTCTTTACCCATTTGTATTAATATCTGTTGGTTTCCGTTCTGCCTTTCACTGCTTTCTTTCTTTTCCGCAGGTTGTGTACATTGTGTGTCCATTTCCTGACCCTTCAGCTATCCTAAAGACAGTAATTGAATCATCTGTTGCACTTGGATCAGTAATTTTACAGTCAGATAGAGACAGGAGATCGATACTTCATAGTCAGGTTGCAAGGGTGTTGAGTAGTTCTGCTGCTGCAGATGAAGCTGCAATATCTCAAATCCCAGTGCTTTCGGGGTTTAGTATTCCTAAACTTGTCCTGCAGGTGGTGACTGTCGATTCTGTTTTCCGGATAACAAGTCCAACTTTTAATGAGCTTGTCATTCTTAAGGACACTGCTTTTTCTGTATACAATAAGGCACGTAGGATTGCACGAGGATCGCCTAATGATGCATTGATGTCATCAAATTTGCCAAGCAGATCCCCGCCAGTCTTGACACCGATGAGTTCTATTCCAGGAATATGGAAGGACTGTGTTGGTTCTCGAATGACAGGATCTTCACTAGCGAGAGAGAGCGAAATTGATGCTACCTTGAGGACCAGTGCTTGGGATAATTCCTGGCAAACAGCAAGATCTGGAGCATTAAGCTGCGATCCAAGCAGAAATGGGGATTTCTACCTTAGTGACGAAGTTTGCTATTTGTTTGAACCGCTTTTTATTCTTTCCGAACCTGGCTCTGTAGAGCATGGAATTTCACCTAATTTTGGGGGTATGGTGTCAGAAGCTTCAAAGCCAGTGCCTGAGGATGGTAACAGAGGTTACGGACAAAGTGGGAGTTCAATGGAAGGTATAAATTCAGGTTCTGGTTCTCAGGTTGATACATCCCAGCTTGATGAAAAGGCTCCTCCAAGCCTGCATTGTTGTTACGATTGGACAGAGGACTGGAGGTGGCTTATAAGCATCTGGACTGATTCTAGAGGTGAATTGCTCGACAGCCATATATTTCCTTTCGGCAGAATCAGTAGTAGACAGGATACAAAAGGGCTGCAATGTCTTTTTGTGCAAGTTCTGCAGCATGGATGTCAGATACTGCAGGCGTGCTCTTCTCCTGATACCGGATCTTTCAAGCTCAGAGATTTTGTGATTACTCGCATTGGGAATTTCTTTGAGCTTGAATATCAAGGTACTTCTAATTTCTTTTTCCTGACCTATCTTTTTTTTGTGCTTTTTTATTTCTTTGTTGTCTATTTCGTCGCCAAATGCAGTTCATGAATTACTAGACTTGTCATGGTCTGTTTTGGTCTCTCATGCTGCTGTTGTTATTGGTTCACAATTGATATTCAACAGAGTGGCAGAAAGCAATTTTCTTAGCTGGGGGCCCCGATATTAAGAAGTGGCCTATTCAGCTTCGACAATCTGTGCATACAGGCATAGCAGCCAATAGCAACGGAACTTCCTTGCAACAGCAGGATCTGAGTTTGATTCAAGATAGGTCCCTGCCCTCATCAACTAGCAATCTTTACACCTCTCATGCAAAGCCGTCTACCTTTGTAAAAGGTGGTATTGGACAAACTGCTGGAAGAAAGCAGATCATGGGTACTCAACCTGTTGCTGACATCCCGAGGGGATTGCTTCAGTGGGTTCGTAGCATCAGTTTTGCCTCTGTTTCCCTTGATCATTCTTTACATTTTGTTTACCCTGTGGAGTCAGTATCTCCTGGTTAGTGTTCCTTCTTTGTTTTATCCATATATCCGTCATTTTTTTAATCACATTCATGTGAAATTGGAAAAGCGAGAAAGAAGTAACTGGTCTCTATCATTGTCCTTGTGGTTTCGCAGGTGGTGGCCAGAGTGGTAACAGTTTGGGTTCGTTAGGTTATCTCGAGGGTTTCACCCCTGTCAGATCTCTTGGGTCTACGCCTGTCTCTTACATGCTAATACCATCGCCGAACATGCGCTTTTTACACCCAAGTCCGCTTCAACTTCCGACTTGTTTAACTGCCCAGTCTCCTCCACTTGCTCACCTCCTTCATAGCAAGGGCAGTGCAACCCCAATATCTACCGGTTTTGTTGTTTCTAAAGCGGTGCCTTCTTTGAAAAAGGACTCAAGGATGAACATGAAAGAAGAATGGCCCTCAGTGCTCTCTGTCAGTCTCATTGACTATCATGGTGGCTACAGTCTCGCTCATGACAAAATTCTCCAAGGGATTATGAAGCAGGGCAGCGGGACCAAAGAAACAAGAGATTTCGAGATTGAAAGCCATCTAATCCTTGAGTCTGTCGCAGCCGAACTCCATGCTCTGTCATGGATGACAGTTAGTCCTGCATATCTGGACCGGCGAACAGCATTGCCTTTTCACTGTGATGCGGTTCTGAGACTCAGACGTCTGCTTCATTTTGCGGACAAAGAACTCTCAAGGCAACCGGATAAGTCGCAAGTTTGAAACAAGGAGAAAGCAGCAAGAAATATCTAATTGCACGTAAAGTTCGAGCTAAGTAGCTTCTCTACAATGATTTGACTAGTGATGTACCAAAGTTATAGCCTAGTAGGAAGAAATGGTTTAGAGAGCTATTGGTGTTTATGAAATCTGTAAAAAAAAACGTTTAGCTTTTAGGACTCTGTTCTGATTATCTGGTCTGCAAAATTAGTTGCAACAGTCCTAGGGTGTGTGTTTTTTTCCACCTTTTGTCTTTGTAATTTAGCTTTTATGTATCATTCGTCCGGAAAGATAACCACAAAACCTCAATCTATCACTTGTTTTTGTAAATTTGATTTCACTTCTCTTTGTCTTGTTGAACTCTTATCAGCAGGCGATTTTGTAGCTCTTTCCAGAACCTTGCAGCAGACTCCTCTATATTAAAAGGAGTCGCCGAAGTCTCTTTCTTAGGTGGCAAGTTTTCTCAACAATGGTTTAAAGTGTCGTAGCCCGAGAGGGAAGCTTAGAGGCTTTATATTCACTTTGAAGGTTGGTTTCGGTCATAATTTGTCTTTCTCGATCTATGGTTCACAGGTCACGGAGTTGATTGAGAAACTTTTGGAAAGGAGGAAGAAAGCGAAAGATAAAAGGAGGATTCACTTTTTTAATACGGCGTTGGTTATCTCTCCAGCTCAAGGTATGGATCCATTCTGCTGCTTCCCACTTTGCTTTTCTGAATTTCACATGCATGGAACATTCATGTCTGATTTGTCCAACACACTCACCAATATGACCCTTTATTTTATTTTATATGAAATTTGAGTAGGCAGACTAGAAAGAATGAGAAATGGTAACCTTAGTAGTAGGTGGTTTGTTTCCAATGTTTACGATCCATACGTTATATGAGGCATGGCACTCCTCATCCACAGTTGAAAGAGTGACGGTAGCTTGACGTTTTCCCTGTCATGTTGTTGGTACTTTCCTTCAATCACTTCCTCTTGTCATGGCCTCAATTTCCAACATCGTTAGTCTGTAAGAATAGGTAACTTTTTATAATTTGAAGATCATTAACAGATAAATCTCCAATGGGGTGTCATAGATTGCAGTTGATGGTCTTGTGGAAACATAGACCTTGATGATATCGCTATATATGATTTTAATTTACTGCAATGAAGATTCTAACATCTGCTCTCTTCTCTCTTTTTTTTTTTTCCCTCAGAGATCTTTGAGCCATCCAAGGATTATTTCCTGTGGTCACCTTTTTAGATCCTTTATTTGACAGTCACATGGAAAATTCCATGGTGGTGGTGATGATGATGATGATGATGCCCACATATTCCCCACACTACCTTCCAAAGTTTCACAGCTCATTTACATCTTTTGATATCACCGACTTCTTTCTTTGCAATTCCTACACCACCCAATTTCATTCAAAAAATAATAATTCCTTTTCCTTTCGTCTCCTCCTAGATTGGACGAGTGAAATTCATGCTCAGGATTTTAAAATCTAGGAGCCTGGTTGGTCTTGGTCGAAATTTTGAACCAAGAAACTCGGCCCTGAACAATGAGTTAAAATACAATCGAGTTAATATAATGAAACCTCGAAATCCCTTTTTTTTTTTTGGGGTAATTTGGCATTGCTCTTGCGAATCAATCAAAAACTAGTAATCATAAATTGCTCACAAGAAGAATGGAAGGTCGACACAATATATGTGACTCGTGGAGTAAAAAAAAGCCGACATATGATACACATATACACGCGCACATACATCCATACATACAGAAACCAATGGAAAGGTGACTCTCAACAACACAAACAACATAACAAAAACAATAGAAATCAAATAAGGAATGTAAATTCCCCTGCACAAACACAAAGAAGCTAAAAACTCTTTAAGAGAGAGAGAGTCTCATCAGAAGAAGAAACCAAAGGCCAAAGCGGCAAGAGAAGCAAACAATGTGGGAACAAAGAGAGGAGCATCAGAAGCAGGGCTTGGGGCTGGAGCCTCAGCCATTGCGGCCTCTACCTTCCCCACGGCTGAGAAGGCCAATGCCATGATGACGACCATTACCACCTCCTCCATCTTCATCTTCATCTTCATCTTCTCTCCTCCTCGTGATATTTTTTAGTGAAAGAGAGAGAATGAGAAGTGTGTTTGTGTTTCTGTGTGTGTGTAAGGAGGGTGGTCTATTTATAAAACTATTTGTGGGAGGGGCCGATACCATTATTAGTTGGTTCTAGAATATTTGTAAAAATATTTTTGGAATACTTTGTTATTTTATTTTGTGAAGCTTATGTTCATCTTATTTATATCCATCAAACCAAGATCCAAGAGCATTAATTAATGATATGGTGAATATTCTCATCTAATCTCCAAGCATATAAACATACTATTTGTAAATAAACTCAATTTCTAATTTGGTAATGAGTAATATATTATCCATTAGAATATTTTTATCAATTGATTATGGCATAATTAAGAGGAATTAGAGATGATTGCTTAACTAATGGGGCTAATCAGCAGTTTTAGGGTTTCTTTTGCAACAGTGTTCACACCAAACTATGAAAATGACGAACCACCCCATCATCAAACAAAGCTCTTTCACACCTAATAAACAACATTCTCTTGTACCCTTAATAACTCAATATCTAGATAATACGTTAATTAATTTTATTATACAGATAAAGAATTAGCTGGACAGCTTGAACAGCAAACATTACAATATAAGTGAGGCTTTATCATCATGCTGTGGGCAAAAGGGACCAACGCAGATAAAATGGACCGTTTTATTACAGAAAAAAGAACATTTAAGGCAAAGTGAGTTGTTCGTTTCCGAAATATTTATTATTGTTTCGTGAATATATTATACACAAATACGTTTGCACGTGCTTACATGTACGTGTGTAAGATAAACACGTTTTGTTTTAGATGCATATATATATATATATATGTATATATATATATGCATTTATTATTCCCGGAGTTTTGATTTCTCGAGTGACAGATATATAAATTTTTTTCTATAAAAAAAATCCTCAATTAATTATTTTTTTATGTGTTTTGGATTGGTCATTGTGATGTAGGTGAAAACTACTGGGCTTTTAATCGGAAACATATAGGCCCAATATTAGTTGTACACAGATTAGCCCATGACCCAAATGAAAATTTGTAAATATTTTAAGAGGCCCAAGCGCACCCTGCGCGCGTGAGCAACACCGCCCCAAAATGTCTTGTACCAGCAAAATCTTCTTTACGATTCTCTGCAAGGAAATTCTCCGGTGCGATGGCACCACGTAGTCCTTGTTTATGCTATACACGTGTCCTATTTTTATTCGCTCTAACGCAAACATTTGTCATTCTCAAAAAGGGAAACGAACGTGATTAAGAACGAGGGCAATGCAGTTATGGTGAAGAAGATAACACCGCGAGAGACGAATGTTTCCGATCTTTGGAGAGAGATTAAATTTGGAACACAAATACATTATTTTATTGTGATGTGGGCCGAAATTAATGGGCTTCTATTGAAAAAAGAAGGCCCACTTAATAATACGCAGATTAGCCCATGGCCCAGATTAAATTTTATAAATATTTTAAGAGGCCCAAGCGCACCCTGCGCGCGTGAGAAACACCGCCCCAAAATCCCTATGTTATACCCTATGTTATAACCCACGCGATTCCATCAAATCCGCAAACTCGGAGTCCGACAGCGCGTGAGCGAATGTTCTCTTTACGATCTCCCCAAGGAAATTATCCAGTGAGGTTGAACCCACGTAGTCCTTATGACATACACGTGTTTTATTTTTATTCGCTCTAGCCGACCACACTTTCCATTCCCATCCGACCGTCCGTATTTGCATCCGACGGTTGTTATTTAACAAAGAAACACTGGAAGATATTTAAAGGAAATAAGATAAATAAATCATAAAAACTCAAATTCATTGAAAAAACGACTGTTTCTGATCTTCGAGTTCGTCGAAGACAATAGCTCAGAAAAATATGAGAATGAGATGTTGGTATTTTAGAGTAAACGGTTGATTGGTTTGAATCTTTCAAAAGGATTCATGTTTCACGTGTATTACAAGTATGGTGAAGGAGGTAAATGTTTGTAAAAGACGTGTCATGAGTTGAAGTATTAAGGATTTGTCGGAAAAGTTTACATTCGGTTTTGAACGTGAAAGGTGATCTCAGAAAAAATGGTAGGATAGCTCGAAAACATGGGCGGACAACCTGTTTTTTCTGAGGAATATAGCTCAGAAATAAACGGGCGGTAGCTCAAAAATACGGGCGGATAGCCCGTTTTTTCTGAGTAGTTTGAATGAGCAAAAAATGTGACCGTTCGGAAAAACTTCCGATTTCTTTGCATCTTTCGACTTTTAGAGTGTTTATAAATACCCCTGGACATCCTAACATGATATAGAATATATAGAAGAGATCTAACTAGTTGTTTGAGAAATTTGAGTGTTCTTGCGGATAGTTTTTCTGCAGAAAAACTATCGCAAGGGTCTTTTTGTTTTCGGTTAAACAAGGTTCTGTTTGATGATTGTCGGAAGGGTAAACCGAAATCATTGTCGCTTCATTGTACCTCAAAAGTGTATTCCTATAATCTCATTTACCCGACAGGGATGGAATAACGCTTTTAAGAAAGTATATCACGCCTTGAACTCATATCTGTTTCCTTACTATTTCATACGTGTTTTGATAGGTTGAAGACATGATTATCAGATCAGATTGAAGTCGTCGTCTTACCGGGTACGTATGAGTATTTATTATTTATTTAAACTCCTACAATCTAAAAACGTTATTTGGGATCTATGACTTCATGGTGATAATGAAACGGAAATACTTGTAAAGTGTACTCAAAGTCTCGGTTAAATCCGTGGATAGAAAACTGATCATGTTTATGATCGGTGGATATCAGATTTCAACGGTTCAAGTTGAAGATATCGGAAATATATCGAACATGGTGTTTTGGACATAAAGAGAAAACTTTATGTTGTCTTATGTCTTGTTGGTTGAAAAATCGACGGTAGATCTTTCTTCGATTGCGATTGTATAGACGTTTTTCGGTTTGAAAAATGAAAATATATTATAGTTTGGTCTAAACTATAATGTTGAAAACTTTCGGAAAAAGAAAATTTTTGTTTCTATAAGTTAATCGCAAAGAATAAGATCTTTGGAAATGGTATGTATATATTGTATAATGATGAATAGACATACATGTTAAATCATAGCTATGTGGAAAAATGCTTGTATATCGGTTATTTTGTGCGAAGGAAAAGATTGACAGAATATGTCAATGACATGTTGCACAAAATACTTTAGGGATGAAAATAAAACCTTATTGTTGATTACGAATAAAAGGATCTCTACTCAACCTCTAATACAACGTTAGAGTTTGAATTCAAAGAGTTAAACCTTTTATCTTGTGATTGAAAATACGCAAATAAAAATCTGCATGAGACGTGAAGAATGACAGGATGAATACATTATAGGATGAAAGAACAAATCTGCACACACACACAGTTAGTGTCTTGACCTTACAACACACCAAAACTGCAGCTACAACTATGGACCCTTTGCCCAAAATTTTTTTTTTTTTTAAAACATGTCCTATTTCCCACCTTTTTTTTTTTGGGTTGCTGATGATATCCTGCATTTTTACATGAATGAACCTATATACTCGGTTACAATACCTACAAAATGTACAGATTGATGCAAGCCGCCCAAGAGCCATCTGGAGTGCCAGCCTGCAAAAGATCCGTGGCACCGCCTGCAAATCCCCCACACCCTCTTGTGCAATCACACTTACAAAACGCAGTAGCCACCATCTAGGACCGCTTTCACAAGGCGGTTCAGACAGCAGACCAATACCGTACCGTGTCATCCGAAGGTTTTACTCTGGGAACTCAGATTCGCAAACTACCAAATGCTGTTGTCAAGGAGAGTTTCGAAAAGATAAGAACCAATACAAGTAGCTGGACGTGAAATAAACCTGAACAGAGTAATCACAGCAAGGATGAAGTAAGAAGGTTACCTTCTCAGATGATGAACCTTCTCAAAGTGAGCCAACAAAGATCTTGCATTGACAAGTTTGGTGGCCGTGCAGAAACTCCATGAACAACACAAGCACTCAGGTGAGGTGCCCATCACTGAGAAGGAGAGAGAAAAATCTGGCTTACAGTGCATTCACAAAGTTTCTAAGACAACCGACGCTTTCGTGAAGACGGACAGGACAAAGGGTGCTTCTTCCCCGGGGTGTATAGTTGTTGGAATTATGGTATATCCCTTTGGATCAGGATCCAGCACCATTTCACATGATATCTCACGGGAATTCACATAGTCTGTTCCACCAACCGATTCATGAAGATATATATTGTAAGCTGCTCGACGCCCACGTGTTTTCAGAATCCTCATTCCAATGTAGAACAACTGAGAATCATGGCTGGATTGGTAATTACGAAACCCTGGAGTCGTTCTTGAGAAACCGACGCCCTGCAAGTGAAACTGGACGATGAGATTTTCTTTCTTCAAGGACTCCATAAAAGGTTCAACAACCAGCAGATACAGATATATATAGTTGATATAAACCTGAGTTAAGGTGATGAAAGCATGAATGGGCAGAGAAGCATCAGGACCAGTGGCCCTTAGCCGGAATTGTGGATTTTGATGCCATGAACTATAATCTTGGCAGCCACCAGCACTGTAACCTCGCCATTGGCCATGCACTGAATAGCGCATCTCTGGAGGGTAGACCCGACAGACGTAAACTGATCTGAAATGGATCTGAAAGTCTTGCCAAGACATCCAGAATATACCTTCTTTTGACTGTTGAACAAAATTTTAAGATGGTCAGCAATTCACATATCATGCTTGTTGCACTAACTTAACATATGACCTATAGCGTATGCAAAACATATATATATATGTGTGCATGTAAAGCATTTTGAGTGCCTGGACACGATTTGCATGGGTATAATAATATATGAGAAAAGAAACATAATATTTGTATTGAAGAAGAAAAAAATCTTCTACCCACTTCTGAACAGTCCAGGGACATGACTCGTTTAGAGGAATCAATATAACATTTTAAGGAATAAGACTTTAAGAAGTGAAGCACAGTAGTGGAACTACCTGTGGGACATGCTTCAGTTTGTGCTTCATCCTATCAGTCCATTCCGGAGACGAGTCTGACCAGGCACCATTCCACTCAACCTCATTAGCCCACGGGTTTCGAATTTGAACTAGTTTGTGCCCATCAATCTCTCTCACCTGAGCATGAACAAATGGGTAACTACCCTAAAATGCTTTTCTTTATCAATGATACAGAAAGAAGCAGACATGTGCAAGTGAAATACCTGCAGGACAGAGTAAGCATGCCCCTGCACGATGCCACTGGAAGATACATGCACATCAGATCCTGACGGGCTCCCAGCTCCAAGCAAGAAGCCCTCTTGTTTGAACCGTAACAATTGAGACCATAATCTGCCACTTGCAAGGTCGATTTGTGCAAGAGCACTCCTCAAATCAATCTCCTCACCAGCGCCTCCAGTTAGGTCGACAAGAGCATCCTGAACTAATCCCCCTTCCAGTGCTTCATAAGAACCATGGAGTTTGGCATATGCTTTTTCCAAAATGGAAACCCAGAGTTCATTAACCTTCTTGCTAGTGGCAAAGGCGGGTTTACCAGGTGATTCACATGGAATCCAGTCATCGACAACTACAGGAACCCACTCTCCCTGCATTGTGCAGAAACAAAACCTGAGAACTCAAGCTACAGGGGAAGGAATGCCAAAGTTTTATTGTGAGAGCAAATCAGTATAAAGCAGACTTGACCAAATGATAATGTGGGATGACAACCTGAATACAAAAACGAACAGTATAGATTCCTTCTTCATTGTAGTCTGAAGTGATTATCACTTCTGATATCCGTGAAACCTCCGTTAAAACTGCAACAGCGCTTAAAAACCAACAATCACCTAGACGCCCCTATAGAACACAAGGTCGAACCAATAACAAGTGTTAAAAAACTTTTAACTGAAGTGGATGCATGAATTGGAAATTTATCAAGAAATAACGTCAAGGTTCATGTGTCGGTACAACATATCAAAGCCAGCAACTGGCCAAACCTGGCAAACATCTGCAGGATTTGCAGCCCCAGAGAACAAGCAAGGGTGACAATCGCTACTGTTCTCTTTCACAATGGAAGCAGGTCTCATCCATTCAGACACAACCTGAATTATTATCAGTTCAGAGAAGTTTAGGATTGCTATCAAATTTGGTCATTCTGGGACATAAAACACAAAAGAAAAAGCTCATAAAATGCAAACAAATAAAAGCAAAAAAGGAGAGTGAAATAGTCCACATTATCCACCTGCAATTTTGAAGGAGGATTCTGTGTATCCACAAATAGGGACCGATCATTTGGGGGGAATTCCTGGTCTGTAAATTGCTTTTCACCTCGGGCAAAGAGAGCTTCTTTGACAGCCAACTCAACTGAATGCATTCGCTGATTTATTTCTTCTTGAGTCTCCATCCTGGGTCTCCTATATCTCCTAGCAAATGAATCAACACTGAATAAGAAATCACGACCTGATCTTCGTTTTCTCCCACTTGAATATTGGCCATCCCAATCTACATCATCTCTATCATAGAAGTCAACATCTGCAGCAGGATCACTATCCCAATCGTCGACCTAATACAACAAATAACCCCAACAATCAGTACAAACTTGAACCTTAAATCCAAATATCATGTTGCACTAAGATGCCAACGTTCAACTGGAAGAAAACATACTCTGGGAGGCGAATCCATCCATTGCCAGTTGTCATCAGAGAAATCAATCATGTCTAAGTCAGTCACGCCGATAGCTGCATGTATCGAAGCAATCTCATCTTCAGTTAAGCACTTTCCCCACACGAAGACATCCATCATATGCATCTTTGACTCGACCCCATCACTATCTGATCTCCCAAACGCATCAACATCTATAGGCGGCCTAACACCCAGCCAAACATCAGCACCTTGTTCCCAAATGGCACTACCAACACTCAGAGGCAACCCAGTCTGGTAGCCATCAAATCCACCATCTAAGTAACAAGCAGCCTCCCCCACATCAGCATCAATGGTCATTGTCACCATATGCCACCTGCAGTAGAAACCAAACCAAATATTTCTAAGAGACGGGGATAAAACAGAATAGATTTGCCAAGACGGGTGACAAGGGAAAAGAAGCAGCAGGTGTAGTATAACAGAATGATTCCATGCATAAAGCTGCTGACAATATGGAAAATGAAGGCCACAAGTCAAACCTTCCATCAGTAATGCTTGTTGCACCAATATACCACTCTTTTGCGACAGTTGTCTGCCTCTCACCTTTAGTTATTAATCTCAACCCCACTAGTCCAGCCTCAATACCTTGTTCAGAACCAGCAACCAGAACCTCCCAACAGATCGTCTTTTGAAATTCAGTGCCAAACACACAAACAGGTCCAGAATCTGGTTGGATCATCACCGTAATTGAAAGGCTAATCTTTTGACTTTGACATACACTCGAGTCAATTTGGCCACAATTTTTACCACTCATCATAGGTTCATCATCAAGAACACAAATAGTCCCAGCGATACCAGTCTGTCAATAAGTTCAGAAAGTTAGTTCCCTGGCAATCAGCATGAAAGGAAAGAATATTTTTGGGGGGAAAGAAAGAAAAAAAAGAAAGAAAAACTAAACATGAACCTGTTGTGCTCGTCGGTCTAGTTGAGCAGTGCGTATTCTACGTGCAATACTCGAGACTCTCTCTCTTGCAAAGGAATCCTCAAGAACAGAATCTCCCCCAACCGCGCGTACTGCAGCTGCCATGGCTGCTGCCTCTCTGCTACCAGCATTAGGAATAGATGAAATAAGGGAAGCTTCAATCTCCTTCCATTTGCGCTCTTCTTTCTCCAAAAGAGCTTTCCTTCTTTCTTTACCTCTCCCTTCTTCTTCGCGTCTCTGCATAAGGACATCCTCTTCCATCTCTTTCTCTCTCAAATAACTACAATTTTGCACAAAGAAAATGGATAAGCTACCTGTTTGGGAAAACCTAATTGCATAGAAAATCCAACATTGCAAAATTAAAGAAACTTGCCTCTCCTGGATAATTTCAAACTGCCTTCTGTCCTCTGGTTTCCATTTACTTATTTTCCTGGCACTTAAGTCGGAAAATCCAATGCTATCCAGAAAGAGTCTCAAGCGTACTTCATCCTGAACTCTTTCTGCCTTTGCCGTCAAACCCAGCAGAAGTAGCAAATAACCACCAAATTTGTCCCACATGTACACCCATTCTGTATCAATTGCCTCTTCCAAAGCTAAAATCCTTGCATGAGCACACATGTCTCTTCGGTAATCTACATCACTTGATGGTTCATGGCGGAATCTCTTTCTGTATCTCATTTTATAGAAGAAAGATCCTGCAACTCTTTCCTCGTTCCTAAGACGATCTCTTAGTTTCATGACATCATCTCTAGGAAGCACAAAGTTCCCTGCCTTGTCACGCATCACTGTGGGATCCCCAACCAAAAGAGCTGCTGAGCTAGCAGACCTTTGTGGAGCTGAATACGTGCCAGATAGAGCATTTCTTGTCTGCAAGCGCACGGGAAAGGGCATAAGAACTACACATTCTAAAGAATTGTCACATGCAAACTATTGGTAATCTCGTTGAACAGTATAGAAGTAATTCTAGAACATAAACATCAAGAAAATATGAAAGAGAGTCGTACTTTGGTGGCAGATCGAGCGATGGCTTGCACTACAGTATCCTTGCTAAGAAAACGAACAGCATCCTCCATCATCTGGAGAACAAAAGGCATTTAGCAATGAGCAAGAGAGGCATAAGATAGTGGGAATACAGAAAACATGAAATGTAGGAGATGAGTGTGTTCACTGAAAGTATATAAGGGAACAGATTAATCAAACAATGGGGAACCTACCTCAAGAGTCAGACAAGGACGTGAGACAGCAAAGCCAAAGGCTACAACAAGGTTGATAGCTGATACAGCAGCACCAGCAAACGGAGGATATATCATCAGACTAGCCACAACACCCCAACCTTCTGTTGCCAATGCAATGCCATAAAGGACAAGAAACGCAGCACTGAAGAAAGTCCATGACGATTGATGCAAAACAATATATAAGCCATTAGGTTCATCTTTCATGAAATCAATGTCAATGGAAGAACAAAATTTAAAACAATATTTCAGATTCACACATAAAGAAGAGAACTAGCTGAGCCAACCTGACATTCTTTCCGCAATCCGCATGAGCATCATACACATACACTGGTAATACCCGTGGAGAATAAACCACAATAGGCGGGGATAGAAGAGCCTATAGGAAAGCCAATTTATGGGCTAGATAAGACAGAGTAACAGATGAAGCTTATGTTGAATTGAGATCTTTGTTAGAAGGTTGACTAGCTCACCGCTAATGCTCTTCCAGACAAAAGAAACAGGAACGAAAAATAGCCAACAGATGCCCCAACAAATGGTTTATCTGGAAAAAAATTCGTGTATGAAATTAATTCATCATTTATTCCAATTCAATGGAACAGGCCTAGCCTCTATGAAGGTCTGAAATCGCATACAGGCAATGTTTACTTTACCTTGAAACCACCCGACAAGAAATGCTGCCAAACCCAAAAGAAAGGCAAGAGAGCAGACAGCAAATGTCTGTCTCCTGGTCAAATAGAAATTGTTTGACGCCCAATGATGGATTACACCAATAGCTAGCATGACAAGGAGAAGAACTAAGAGAAAGGATGCACCAATCTGTCACAATTAAAACACAGGAAATGTGTCAGATGGATTGAGTTCAACTAATAATTATGACAATCATGCAAGCAATTTCTCACTTACCGTCCATGGCTTAATTACAACAATAACAGCTGATATTGCACCAAAAAGAAGAAGAAGTCCTGTAGAAACAAAAACATATACACCCCGTGATAGTATCCAACCGTCGTCTCTCCTGTAAGAAAATCAAGACCCAAATTAGAAGACATAATGAACAGCATCAGGCAGCAAGTATTAGGTATCAAATGAGATAAGAAATAGTCAGGCACCATTTAATCAATCCACAACACAGAGAGAGCAGTGCGGGAATGCATGCCAGGGGCAGCAAAGCAGCAAGAAAATCGCCCTTTGTAGGAACCTGATCACCTCTAGATTTCACAACCTCCAAATATGATGTCCCACAAAATGCCACAAGAACAACTACAATGTAGTTGAAAGAAATGAGGAATGAATTTAAGGAAAAAAGATATGCTAGCGTAGAGGCAAATTCACAAAAGACAAATTACCTGAGAATATCACAACACAGATGGCAGAAGAAAGGGAGAATCTATATGTCGCAAACCATGAGATAATTGGCAGAACTGCGGTAACTACTAAGGCAATTCCAGATGCCATTGCCCAGCCAAGGTACACAGAAGATGTGTAAGGAGAAGCGAAGAAGTTCTCCTTAGAGCTAAAGGACTTGTACTTCAGATCATCCAAAGGCTTAGCAGATATAATTGCACCAAGAGCAATTACAGATCCCACAAATACCACAACGCAAATGTAAAGAACAATTCCCTAAAAGGACAAAAAAAAGTTAATTAGAAATATATATATCCGACAAAGGATAGTCTTTAGAAATCAGGTCACAGACAAACAACAGACCTTCTTCAACCGAGGAGATTGCGGATCTCCTGCCTGATCACCGCAGGGAAAATGAGGAACCCAGAACTGATAACCACTATGGATCCATATTGGAATTGCAATAGAAAGGCATGCCGCCATGAGAGGCACAGTCAAGGATATTCCCAAAAGGACAGAAGATTTACTGCAACATGAAGCACAACCATAAAAAGGCACAATGCATGCCATAAGAACATAATATGCAACCACGTGAGAAGCGATGGTAAAAATCCATATTAAAGTTCAAAATCCCTTGTACCTCAAGAAAGAGAGTAATAACCCAACTGAAGTGCTCAGCAGCCAGGCCACAAAACCATACTAAAAACACACGAATGACATCCAGTATTAGCACCATCTATACAAAACACCAAAGACCAATAATTTACCAAACTCAAAAGAGGAACTATACCTTCTGAGATTTTGATGTCAAGGCCATTTCTTCAACTTGAAGTGACCGAAGAAAAGCCATGATTGAACAGACAACAGGTGACAACAGCAGTACAGCAAACCCGAATTCAAACTGCAACATGGTAAATTCTTAGCATTAACAGAGATACAAAAGAAAACACCAACTAATAATGCTACTAAATAATTCTGGTGTATTGATTTCAGTAAATTGACTTCAACGTGCCAACCAATCGCTGGACAACCAAAACCATAAATAAACCACCACCCCTTCAAAGAGAGGACTCACCTGTTGGTGACTAGAATTTATGATTGTAATGGTCTTTGGACGAAAAATAGCAACAATAATTGTTTCAAGAATGAAGACAAGACTAAAGAGGCCCCATGCTCTCTCTGGTGTCCCTGCTACATGGTGCAGAACAAGTCTGGACAGTTTGAGCCACTTCTCTAGCCCTCGTAACCTCAATTCTTCGGATAAGGAAATCTGATTTGGCAGAGTGTTGTCAACACTGTTTGAGTCAATAATGGTAATGTCAGTATTGTCACGGTGATCTCTATCCGCATCCAAACTACTTCTCTGAAGCAGAGCCAGAATAGTTGGATCCAAATTTCTTTCCTTCAACATCATGGCAAAGTTGGGGTCCAGCCCCTTGTCTTGCAATAAACCAGTCAGTTCAAGGTCGCCTTCTTTAGCTTTCTTTTTTAGCATCGATGTAATCCTGGGATCGTTCAAGCGGTCCTTGAAAGCAAGTGCCAAGTTTAAGTCCAGAAGTTGATTATTTGCAGAATTTGATGCGCTAGACTCACAACCTTGACTGTCAAGACCGCTGCTAGAACAGTCCACCAGATTGTTATCCTGATCAGAAACTTTCTCAAGATAAGAAGACATTCCAGCTTCAGGCTCTTGGGCCATAGAACGACATGAGCTACTGCGTAAACCCAAGCTTGGTCTTCCACTATCTAAGCTCTTTTCACTATTGATACCCTCTTGGGAACTTCCGGTTCTTGGTAGAATATTATTCTGATTGTTGGCAATGCATTGTACAGCAGTACGATTAGCTTCCTGGCCAGCCTCTATGCTGCTGCTTCTTTTCATGCTTGAGCCACAACCATCGGAAGAACTTGAAGAGCTATTATGCTCCTTTCTCCGGAAACCTTCTCTCAAACGGATCACAGTGCTTTGTAAGGCATCTCTCCTTGCAGTTGAAGGATCTGTCACTGATAAATGCCGGGAAACAGCAGCACCTGATAGAACTGATGCTACGAAAATGTAACTAATGCAATGCCCCAGGTACCTGAACCAACAGAAAAAGGATAATAACTCCCATGCTGCAAAGGCAACAAACTGCGATCAATAAATTACTAAAAGAGCTTCTAGTCCAGAACAAACCAGTAATGTACACCAAAGCATATTAGGAAAAGCCGAGATGTTCCTGCCACAAATAGCGCCAGAACACGACTCCGAAGAAGCTTAAACCCATACAAGCATGCCCCAATATTCCAATCTACAAGATAATTATGCATGAAGATTAGATTGAGAAACAATCCTAACAGCCTGCTTCTGCTGAAGCCATATTCAACATGTCATTTTACCAAGAACTATAATCGCAACTGAAGTAATGCCTCCAAGCCAACGGGCCTCCCTAGCTGTGAGACCGTATAGGACTGAGTAGGCAACAAGTACAACAAGTGAGCCAAGGTACAGTAACCCGAGATGTGAAGCCCTGCAGAAGATCATGACAAGAACATTAATACAGAATACTTTTAAAAAAACAGATAAAAAAAACTGCAATGATTGAAATAAGCATATATGATTATCAGAAAGGCCTGAAAACTTTTCAGAGCTTAACCCTGAATATAAAACACCAACTGCACCATCTTTGTCAATCGAAGAGTAGATATCTTGGGGAGGGATACCACATGTCGTGATATTTAAGCTACTACAACAAAGGCCACTAGAACCACATCCCATTAATCTTTAGAGTATATCCAAACATTCTGGTAATGATGGGTTGCGCAACTCAAGACTGACAATTAAATAGGACGCTGAAACAACAATACACTAGTGAAACGGTGACAAGCTCCCCCCCCCCTTTTTTTTTTACTTTTCAAACAAAAATCCAAGACAAAAAAATAAGATCCTAGGACATTAAGTTCATTAACTAAGCACAGTGATTGATTCCCAGGAAAGAGAAAATTGAACTTGCCTGCTGGTTTGTCGCGGATATAATTCATTGGGATCAGGCGGCTCTGGAAAACAAGCCACAGGACCTACCTCAATACAATCTGAATAGGCAAATTTGTAAGCTCTCCTTACATATTCATCCACATCTAACCCATTCCCTGCATCAATGGAAAGTCAACCAATATAAACAACTTAAAAATGATAAGAAAATTGAAGTATTGATGGAGGAAAACAAATGAGCCGATCCATACCAAGACCACATTTAATAACGAAATAGACACCAACCATGTAAGGATTGAGAAAGCTTTACCATTAAAGACCATCCGGCAGATAAAAAGCATATTGATTGCCAAGGCGATTGCAGATACACCAAAAAAGAGACCAGAAGGAGAATATTGCTCAGATGCATGCGCCCCAACAGTCACATAGACGGCACAAAGTTCATATGCACAAAGTAAGGCAACACCAAGAAGGAGAAGTAAAGCGACAGCTCCTGTTAAACCGAATGACAATGTAAGAAAACAATCTAAAAGATACATTCAAGACAACTAAAAATAAGAGCGCATGGAATGTTCACCTACACATACAATCTTACATCCCAAACTTCTTTTACTCTCTTAGTCTATCACCGTTATTAACAATTTACAACAGCATGACAGCTATGAATCCACAGGGACAGCGACCACAATATCCAGACACTCACTAGTCACTATAGCCCCCTAAACCCCTAAACTCTAGTGATATGTCTTTTATGCCAAATTGTTGCATCGGTATTCATATGAAATAAAAAACAGAAAGGAATGGTCATGCAAACATACGTGAGCTTTGCCACTGAGTCCTCCACCAAAGCATGATTGAATAAAACGCCAGTAAAAGCGCTGATCCAGCCATTATTACAGCAAGGCCAATTATATCTCGATCTAGTATCACAATCAGCCAGGAACCCCATGCGATAAGGATCAGGATTGGGGATACGACAACCATCCATGCAAAAAGAGACAGAAACCCACATAATGCGCCGAGCTGGGGACCTTGAAATACTTTTGGCCATTTTCTAGCGAATATCCAGCTGCAAAAATAGAATGTATCCCCAAAACATTGAATTAAGATGGCGGTTCGATACACCTAACTCAATGTTACGCAGAAATATGAAATTTTCTATTTGGAAACCAAATGGCATGCATAAAAGGTAAGTCTGGGAATATAACAACACCAGGCAAATGGAAAGTTACCTATAGAGCCGCCAGGGCCGCCAATTCACTGCCCAGAGTATCCAGAAGGAGCCCGAACCGAAAACAGCGAAAAGGGTACCCGAAATTACACAAGACAGCAAGATTCCTCGCTCGTCCCCTTCCATGGCTCCTTCTCCCACCTACATCTGCATGCAACAAGGTAATCAAAATTCTCAAAGCCGAGAAGCTAAAGCCCCAAGATTGCGCAGAAAACACAAAATGTGCAACTCAAATCAACAAAAGAACACCCAAATCGAACAAAAAAATTCACAAATGCCGCAGAAAAATGGGGATTCATACCTACTCGACAAAACGGAGCTCAACGGGCAGTGGCATGACGGTAAATTCGGAGCAAACGGGTCATTTCCAACGCGGAAAAATCAGAGATTGAGCAAAATGGGTCATTTCTGATACGGATTCGGCAGTCTGTGATTAGGGTTTTCCGGCAGAGAGTCGAACTGTAAGCACGGAAAGGAGAGTGCAAGAAACCAAGTTGGGGTTGCTCTTGAGAGCTTGAAGAACAGAAATCAAGCACCTTTAGGGTTTTGCTGGCTTTTTTGTCAGGAATTTTCCTGGAAATCTTTCATCATCTCGGAGAATTTCTCAGGTTAGAGAGAACGGACAGAGAGAATGGTAAAGATTAAAACCCTACCCTTTTCCGTGTGTGAACTTGAGAAGTCAAAAAGTTCGTAGCTTTTTTTTTTCAAAGAGCAGAGAGGATTGTAGAGCGAGAAAAGCGAGTGTGGAAAAAAAAATGTAAAAAAAAAGCTAAACGTCTCTGTCTGGAGGAATAATACGCTGACTCTCGGGCATTCACGCGTACGTACACGCACCAATGAGAATTCAGAAAACATAAAGTAATGAATATTATTGGACTGTGAGAATGGGTGAAATTCCGGGCATATCTTTGGGGCTATGGATTTTTTTCCCGTAAAAGACAGGAAAAATATTTTAAAAAAATTGAAACTTTTTTCATAAACACGAAATTTGGTAATTTGGTAGAAAGAAAAAAATGGTCACAATTGGTTTCGGTTAAAAAATATAGTGGCGTTTAAATTAAATATAATTTAAAATAATGAATATAGAAACGAAAATAAATCAAACCAGAAATATGTAGCTTTAATAAGAAATATGTTACTTATGTTCTTGATTTTATGGTATAAATCAGAAACCAGTTTATTAGCCGTAGGTATCTATATTCGATTATTTGTAAATCAAAACAATTTCATTTGAGTATTGGTGGTTTGGGAGCCATGGAATATGTTCCCAAATATTTTAAAGTATTTCCAATTTAATATATTTATTATTTTTTTCTAAAAACTAATTGGAAATTTACATGGAGAGCTAGATGCTGACGAGTATGTAATATCCAAAATCAAATTCGGAAATTTACAAAAAAAAAATGTTTGATTTAGACCGACGGTGCACAATACCAAAACATTTGAATTTTAGGAAGAAATAAATAGTGCAAGTCATGTAACAAATATTTAAAAAAAATTACCTAACCCTGCATTTTTTTATTTTATTCTATAAATAAAATATTAATCTTTTCCTTAATGTAAAGTACTTTAAGGTAAATGCTCAAAACTCAAAAACAGGAAAAGCGGTTTCTTTGCAACATTCAATAAAACGTATTGAAATTTTAATGCTTTATTATTAAGACGTTTTAAACCCTAATAAGTCAAAGTTAGTCAACCATACACCCAAAGACAAATTTGATTTAAAAAACAAGAAATTAATGTAATAAAATATAAATATTTTTGCCTAAACAAAAACATATGTACACCATATTATATATATATATATATATATACACATACATTGTTTTTTTAAAAAAAAATCACCATTTCAACGAAAGTGGGGAACAGGTAAATATAAAATATGATCTCCACTCACATGCAAATGCAAATGCAATCTGAGCCGCTTTTAGACACACACTCTATCTCTCCCGCAACTAGGAAAAGGAAACAAGAAAGTTGAATCATTCATGGGATCTCATAGGCAAATCCAGTGTCATTCACTTGCTGAAATCCATCTCAATTATGATATTGATATATATATATATATATATGTGTGTGTGTGTGTGTATAGAGAGAGAGGGGGGGAGGATGGGAAGTGCATTCACTTGTCAAGAGATTACTCAGAGACAGGAGAAGCAAACCACATTACAAAGAAAGACAAAAGTAAAATTTCACTAAGAGCTTCAGGTTTCAGACTTGAAGCATCTTTGTCTCGTTTCCCCCATCTATTTACATGGAGAAAAACCAGACAACCCTCAAAACTTCACATTACACGGAGAGGGCACTTCAACACACATTTTACTGAATTAGTTTGAACAGAGAGCCTAATACTACCACTCAAAGAAGGCAGAGCCATACCAAAGAAGGAACATGATGAATTCACAGGAACAGAGAGGAGGTGCCCAGTTATGGACAGTTGGGGTTCTTACCAGGACCTCCATAGTAGAAGTAATGGCCCCAGTCATCATTGCTGCCCGTCTGAACGTCGTAGCAGTTGGACTGCTCGGTGAATGTCCCGAGTCCTTTGGGCGCTTTTAGGTTATTAGAACTGTCGACCACCTGGATGTTCCGGAAGTAGCTTGACCTGCTGAAAAGACCGCTGCTAGAACAGTCCACCAGATTGTTATCCTGATCAGAAACTTTCTCAAGATAAGAAGACATTCCAGCTTCAGGCTCTTGGGCCATAGAACGACATGAGCTACTGCGTAAACCCAAGCTTGGTCTTCCACTATCTAAGCTCTTTTCACTATTGATACCCTCTTGGGAACTTCCGGTTCTTGGTAGAATATTATTCTGATTGTTGGCAATGCATTGTACAGCAGTACGATTAGCTTCCTGGATTCTGCATTCACGACTTCGCCTCCCCATTCGATCATTGATGCACTGTCTGCTAAGTAGGAGAAGAGGAATGATGGCCAGTAGCCTAAAACGTAGTCATTTCCGAATTGCATCCACCAATGCCCCTCCTTTGGATCCTGCATGAATTTCACCAAACAGTCCTCCTCAATCAATACCAGCATTAAAGAAGCAAGCTTAGGTCTATTGATATCGCCAAGAATTTTTTTGGATCCTTGGGTTATTTCATCTCTCTTCTACTTTCTTGATTATTTGTGATATTCATGGCTTTTTACCTTCCAAATAAGGATACTGATATCATACTGGGAATTACGATATCCAGAGACAGGGGAGATGCTTGCCCCCATTGCTATTTCGCTGTTGATCTGAATAAAACCCGAGCAAAGAAGATTGTAGCAGCCTGTAGCTTGATACGCATCACTCTGCAAATAGTTTGTAACCAAAGAAACATGGGAGGATCATAAGCAACAGCTACTATGTTCATGTTGTTATATAACAAAATTCTTGTTCTACAGAAGTTTCAGAATCTTACTGTCCAGTAAGTGAATAGTCTGGTATTATTGTCTCCATATAGATCCGGGCTCACCTGTTGTATCACATACAACACCAGATGTTAAAAGGGTTGGCTCAAAAATCTTCTTTCTTTTTTTGGTTCTCCAAAGACTACAAACACGATTACAGCACCGCACCTGCCAACCAGCTTCAATGCTGTTAAGATCTTCACCAAAGGAGCCACCCAAAATCCAAATCTGTGACAAGCTGAACTCGTTTGGCTGCTGTATCTTTGGCTCCCACACGTTAATAGTCGCCTTTGCTCCAAAATACTTATCTCCTTCCACATAAGCTATGGCATGCTAAATTCATGCAAGAACAATGAACCAGTACATAACATGTTTCAGGTGAAGAAATCAGCAAAATGTGTCAAAACACAAAAACTAAAGAACACTGAATTTTGTTCACCTGATGCCCATTTTGGTTCATGAGGTCGGGTTCCGCTGACCTTGGCACCGGAACGGTTCTGTGCTTCTTCTTACCATATCTCTTAACTGAACTTGCCCTCAAGACATCATCTTCTTTTGTCCTCCTTATCGGAATGGTGCCTTCAGGGCATTTACCGTATTCATGCCACAATTGCCGCACAGGGTTTGTTTTATCTTTCGGTTTTGCAGACACCTTATTGTCACCAAAAAGCCCTTCAGGGTGATAATTAGGCCTCATCTGAAGAAACAGAGTGATTATATATCAGCATCAAAAGAGCCCTTCAAGTTTTTAAGACAACATCAATTTTCTATGGACCTGAATCTTGTGATCTTTGAGGAAAGGATGGTCGAAAGCCGGCTGCTTTGACATATGAACGCAGTCGATTATGTCACCATCTGGGCTCTGTTTTAACCGCCAAGAAGCAAAAGAGCAAAGTAAGAACATTTCCCTTAAAACATCAAACTTCTCCAACTCTTTGACAAACCTAAAGACTTCCAATTTCACGAACTTGTTCAGAGCAAACTTGTAGGCTCAAATTCATCAGGCTTCAACAGGGGCTTAAACCAACGTATCCAGGGCAAAACCACATGCTGCTACAACTAACAACTTGTAGCAGAAAAACTGAACTAAAAATTACAGAGTCACTGACATTGACATACTGTAATCTTAGTAAGAAAATGGTAAGACCCTTCATCATTACAGTAAACTTCACCAACTCTTGGCACATAATTCACCTATCGTTTCAATCAGTTCACGCAGATAAAAAGAAGTAAAGTAAATCATCGTGTAGCATTTCTATCCACTTTGAGCCTTGGCGGGAGACATAACATCACGATGGTTTGGATAATCCTCGGAATTAATTTTGTGAAATTTTGTATGCTCTCTCTAGAGCTCTGTACCATTTCTATCCACTTTCTCTTTTGGGTCATGATTATTGTAAAACTCTGGAGTCGATTTAGACAGCAAAATTTATTTTGGAGATGGTGGCTTTTCCAACAATTATGTAATGTAATGTTGGGAAAGAACACGAAGATGTAAGGAAATCGGATCGAATATATACCTTTTACCAAAAAAAAAAAAATCATCGTGTAGCAGTAGACAAAGGAGGAATAATCAGACTAGGATTTTTTCCAGATTTTCCTTCATTTCCCCGTCAAACAAACAAATTTGAAAAGAGAGAGAGAGAAAAAGACACACACAAAAAAACCCTGAACTCGGCTAAAAAAATCCTTAAATTACAAAGAGAGGAGAGATTCTGAACCTGAATGATCTTAGCAGCTGGTTTGTTCAACCTGATCAAGTGCTTCTGCACCTCAAACTTCTGCCTTGAATCGCTAAACCTCGCGGCGCAGGATACCGAAATCAGCCCACAAAGCCAAAACCACAATAAAAACCCTGTCGCTAACCTCCCCGTGCTAAAATGCACCGCCCTCATCTTCCCAAACCCAGAAGAACACACCCAAAAAAAACCCAAAAATCCTCTCTCTTAATGTTAACAACACACTGAGCTAAGAAGAGCTTAAGAAACAAAGGAAACAGGACAGAGCAAGAAGCAAAAAAAAACCCTAAGGAGAAGAAGAATCCCAAACAACACAATGATAATGTTGTTCGTCGGGACAAGCTTGGGGGTGGGTCTGATTTCGTTTGCGCAAAAATCCAACCACACAGATCAAAATCCAAACTTTCCCACTGTCCACTCTCTCTCTCTCTCTAAAAGAAAAGCTTCCACTTTCTCTCTCTTACCACTTCCCTCCCCCCCTTTTTTTAATTAATCTAGTTAAGAATAATATATCTTTTCAATAATTAATAGAAAAGAATATGTTTTTCGTCACACTGTCTAATCGTTCTATAAATAACAATAATTCGACCAGGCTCGTATAATACCACAATGATTACAAAAAATTGTTACATTTGTATGAATTGGTCTTCACGTGAGCTTGTTTGCGGCTCTCTCTCTCACACTCTCTCTCTCTCTCTCTCTCCCCATCTCATCTCCTCAAATTCCCTATTTGCCCCCACATGGACCAAACATTTTCATTTCGCTCCTTTGCAAATAGTAATTGTTTGGTTAGTTCTAAATTTTACTTAGTTTAATATTAATTCATCAATATTAAATTCGGCATTTATAATGTGAAACAAATTTTTATGTTGTTACAAGACAAAGATTCTTATTGATCTAAAATCTTGGTCGCATGTCGTTGTTATTTAATGACTTTTTTGTTACACGACTGAGTATTAGTATTAATATAATATATAGTATTTTTTATTTTATTGGAAGGGATAGTGGTATAGTATAGATTCGAAAAAAGCGTTAGAAACCGCAGTTCGCCGTTAAATATCAAGAGTAACGCCGTTAACTCCCGTCAGCCGCGGGTCACGCTTGGAATAAGTCACAGCCAGTGACCGTCGCATAGACGTCACACATAAAGGGATCAAATGTCACACGTGTGACTCATCGCATCAGACCGTACACGTGTCTCCCGCCCGTGAACGACGCTCGAATGACGGAAAGGGGTAAAATTGGAATAGTATAAATATACCCGACGCTCCAAAATCGTGGAATCCGATGCGGAAGAAAAAGATTATTAGATTATGGAAATTAAAGTAGGGGGAAAGTTATGACTTTCTCTCTCTAAAAGGGTAAAAAAATTATTCGATCTCTAAAAGGGCTTTTTTTTGTGTGGGTAGATGTGCATGTCGTGTCTGTTTTCGTCACGGGCACATGGGTTGGGCTCAGGACACCGGAGGTGCAGAGTGGGGACTGATTGGTCATTTTGTCGTGAAGCTCAAGGGCGTTATCGTCTTTCATCTCTTCAAACCCACCATTACGAAAACGAAAATCGCATCTTTTCAATAAATTCAACATCTTGTTTCATGACACATAACAATGTTTTTTTTTGTGCATTGGAGAACCGGCTGCTACCTTCGGACGCGCTAACCGGATAAATATCAAATCCACGCGCATGAGTTTGCAATATACGCGTGGATGGTAAATGAGCCCGGAGACTGATAGTTGAACAGATAAGAGGAAGTGACATGATGGAGAATCGAATACATGACAATGTTTGATAGAGATGTTAAGTACTCAACATAAATGAAGCCGTGTCTAAATCTATTTAATATGCATACACATTAATAAATTGGTCTTAATAGAACATGACATTCTAAAAAAAAAAGTGAAAATGACGTATCAACGTGATTATTAGACTGAATATGTTATAAAATGTTACTATAATTAACAAAATTAGTCTTGATTACGTAGAAAGGACTAGTTACAGAAATATTCAAAATTAATTCAATTATAAAATTCTCTGAGATATAAAATTTTAAAATAGTTTACCAAAAAAAAGTTAAAATAGAATCAATCGAATTCTAATTATACATAAAAGTTAATCTACTTTTATAATTATTTAAGGCTTAGAGGAACCGTATAAAATGTGAATTAAAAGTTGACAAACGGGCATAGTTGTATAATCTAAGACATTATATCATTTTTTTATAACAATCGATGAATCTTTGCGATCAATCTCTTTGATATTGAAACCCTAATAATAATATTTTGGTTAAATTTGTCGGTGATTGATCTCTGGCCATTTATATAATAGGCCAAAGGCTCAGCCACAACGCTCAATTATATAAGCAAACAATTTAAATAACAGAGCTATATATATATATATATATAGCTCTGTATATATATATATATATATATATATAGTGGACAAACTAATAGGGTTGCATATGGACAAAGATCCATTAGGTAGCCACCCAAAACATGTCTTTTTATTACATTTTATAACATTTTTTCGGCGAACTTTTGAATTATTAAAAAAAATATTTTCCCGTATATGTTTTTTTTTAATTTAAACTTTATTTAATAGTGTGGAGTCTGACCACTTGTGCTTGAAGCCAAATACTGCATAGTGGGATGTCAATCATGTCATCGATAAGAAGTGCAAGGTCACGACACGATATTACACGCCACGAATATGCGTATATCTATACGTACATACACATTCATGGAATTCTAAATTAATTTCTTCCATTTCTACATTAACATACAAGTTTTAGTCAAATTTTCGATACAAGATGTTGAAATATCTGTTTTCGTTTTTTTTTTGTATGTACATTGATAATACGATAATTAGGAGAAAAAACAACGAAAATATATATATTTTTTTGCGTTTGCGCAATATTAATAGCAAAATTCAAAGACGGTGCAACGAAATTAAGTTATCATAATAGAAACGGACTGGTACTGCACATGCATAATGCGTCCATGATACAAAATAAAAGGAGGGGATAAGGACGAATCAAACTGGCTTTAGCTTTTAATTACACGATATGTTTATCGTTAGAAAAATATAAAATCGGATATAATCGTGACCCAACGTTCGTACGTGCTTGCATGGCCACAAGAAAGGATGTGGAGCCAGCCATGCATGCATTATGCATATATAAGCTTATATATATATATATATATATATATATATATATATATATATATATCGCATCCTTTTATATTCCATGATGGTGTTCCCTTCATTAAACCCGTTGATCTTTTCATTAAAAAAAAAACGATACAAAGTTGATAAAAGAGAGCATTTCTTTTTTTTTCGGTGGACCCAAGATTTTAGTCCATAATTTATGTGAGTTTGTGCCACGTGGAGTACGTAATTATGTGTATATATGTGATTTAATTGTGTAATTAATTATAAGAAACTTCTTCGCTGCATAGAGAGCAAATAGGGTTTTTGTCGCCATTGAGTTGATTATTATTATTATTATGTATCCTCTTAGTCTTAACCCTATGGTACGATTGAATGAGATTGTAGATAGACACGGGCGCTCCAAGATATCGTTAAATCTGTGAAAATGTTATCCAGGTTTTGTTATTTGTATATATTATATAATAAAGTATTTCCGATGTGTAATTTAAATTTTATTTATATATGTTTTAAAAAAAACGAAAATCCATTGTAAATATGTTTTTTTTTTCATTTTGGAATTATAATCAATATTAATCTATACAAATTATGAATATGATGAGATTCAAGCCCTAAATATTTTACGAAACATATTTGCATTTAATTTATTTACGTCTATTATAAATAAAAATAAATCATTAACATGCATATATGTTCCATATTACGTCAAATACCAGAAGACTCATATATATACATATATATATATACACACCAAATATTTATATATAAATATATAGAGTGTATATAGAGGTGAATACATACAGAAGCAGACATATATATATATATATAGTAGATGGATGATCATGTGAATGGGTTTGGCTGACTGTGAGGCATGTGAGACCTTTTTCACCTTTGAATCTAAACATTTTTTTTGTGTGTTCATCATTTTCATCGTCATGGTAATAATCCAAGAAAGTCGTCCCATAGTGAAACAAAACAATCTTTTTTTTTTGGGTCATGGAATTACTATTACAATATACAAATGGTCCTCATAGATATCTTGCGAAGGTTCTTTGCGAGCATTTCACGTACAAATATTCAAGATTTTTTTTTTAAAAAAATTTCATCGCTCATATAGCGATGGTTAGCACAGGAATTAATCTAGTGACGGTCCAAACGAGTTAGAGAATACAGAAATTTTATATTATAAGCAGGGTTTATATGCCCCCCAACGAGGTCGTTTACGGTAGATAATATTTTTCTGGGCTTTATTTGGGCCACATTAAGGGCCCACATTTAGGTCATTTTTCTGGGCCATAAATAATATTTTTCCTTTCTGCAGAGCACACATTGGAACTGCGATTCAACTTCCACCTTGCAGGAAACAAAAAATAAATAAAAACCCTACAAGATCCAATCTCAAATCGGCGAACCCAGATGCAAAGTTTCCGACTTTTTTCCCGGAAAATCCTTTTTTTTTTCTCGGAATGTCACCGCCTTTTTTCCCTCACCATGGTGCGAAGACAAGTTCAATGCTTGTTAGAAGCCGATTTCTAAAAGCGAACCAAGAAAATCTCGATGTGCTTCCGAATTGCTCAAATGAAATATAGTTTTCTGAAATTGATTTACCTCTTCTCACCAATTTGTATTTGCAGAAACGGTGATTGGGGAAAAAAAAAATCAAAACTTTACAAGAGAAACCCTAAATACCAATACTAAGCCTTTCACTAAATCATATCACATCTTCTTCTTCTTCTTCTGTTATATACAGACACTCGGAGAAAAACGAACAATTCAAAATTCTCAAACTTCCTACGAATTCGGAATCTTTCGTCTTCTAGGACTTAATATCTCTGAGGGTTATTCAACGGAAGGCGTCTGGTCGAGATTGCCATTCTCTGTATCAACCTGAAGCTCTTTGAACATGGCCATCACCTGAACCATGGTCGGTCTCTTGAACGGCCTGTCGTCCACGCACTGAAACGCGATCTTCAGATACTGAACCATCTCGTCAACGTCTCGGGATTTTCCCGTCACGAGCTCGGGGTCCAGGATCTCGCCGCCTCTGTCATCTCGAAGCAGCTGTTTCGCCCACCCGATGAGGTTGTTGTCCTCTCCGAAGTCCCACGGATCGATCGGCTTCTTGCCCGAGAGAAGCTCCAACAGTATAACGCCGTAGCTGTAAACATCACCTTTGGCCGTACACCGAAAGCTCAGATAATACTCGGGTGGGACGTAACCAGGCGTTCCCGCGAGCGTGCTCACGCTCAGATGCGTGTCCAGAGCGTTCACGAGCCTCGCCATTCCGAAGTCAGAGACCCGAGCCTCGAGTTCTTCATCCAGAAGAACGTTGCTCGACTTCATGTCCCTGTGAATGATGTGAGGGACGCAACTGTGGTGCAGGAATCGCCGACCAGTCTAGGAACATGTGGCTGTCGTGAAGAACGCTCTCTAAGCTTCCCCATTTCATGTACTCGTAGACGAGAAGCCTCTCTTCCCCGACCTTGCAGTAACCCAGAAGCGGCACGAGGTTTCTGTGTTTGATTTTTCCAATTGTCTCCATCTCGGCCATGAACTCTCTCTCGCCCTGACCCATGACGTGGATCAACTTCTTGATCGCAACGACCGAACCGTCACTGAGTTTGGCTCTGAAAACCTCTCCAAACCCACCTGATCCGATCAAGCTGTCAGCACTGAATCCGTTTGTAGCCTCGAGGAGGTGGGCAAAGGTTAACTTCCGTAACGGCTTATCGAACGTAGCGACATTGATGCTCAGCGGCTCCGGGAAGCCCTGCTTCCCCCGCCGGAAGTCGAAAGGCTCTCAATGCGCTTCTCCCTCTCTTCTTCCTTCAGCGCTTTCCTCGCGTGGTAAAGCACCATGAAAAGCAACACAACCCCTAAGAAAGAAAATGCAAAACCCGATATAATCCCGGCTGCACGAGAGGGTCGTTTCTCGGGACGGAAGCCAGGGCTCATGGCCCGAGATCTTGAGCCACAGGGCCAGAGGGGAAGGCCGCAGAGACCAGAGTTGTTGGCGTATCTTGAGAAAGGGAATGTCATGAGTTGTCCTCCAAGAGGGATTGGACCGGTGAGGTTGTTGTTAGAGACATCTAGGTCGCTGAGGAATGATAACGTCCCGAGTGACGCGGGCAAAACACCTTGCAGATCGTTGTGTGACAGATCAAGAGAGCCGATCTCTTTTATTCCTCCGAGACTGTCGGGGATGGTTCCAGTTAACCGGTTGTGTCCGAGGTTCAAGACCTTTAGATAGGTCATGGAACCGAGACTCGGAGGGATTGAACCTGTGATGGCATTGTAGGACAGGTCGAGGTAGATCATGCTGCCATTGCTCGAGAATGTATACATTGCCATGCCCGAGTATATACGCGTTGTGGGACACGAGTGGATCATCGGAAAGCTTTCCAACCTCTCGGTTTGAATGCCTGCAAACTCGACCAGCCCACCTGATCCTCTGCAATCAGTGCCGCCCTCGTTCCTAACAAAAGCAAACTGTTTACCCGAGACGCTCCCAGGCATTACCAGCCCGGTCTGGCTCGCTAGCTCGGCCGGAAGGTTCCCGGTTAGGTTGTTGCTGTTCAGGTCAAGCCAGATGAGGTTTCTGCAGTTCCCGAGCATGCGGGGAACCTTTCCGGTCAACGAATTGTTCCCGAGCTGCAGAATGGCCAAGTTCACGAGGTTTCCAATCCCAGACGGGATTTTCCCGGTTAAGCGATTGCTCGAGAGGGAGATCCAGATCATGTTCGTGCACTGGGAGATAGACTCCGGTATTGAACCGGTTAAGAGATTGTTGTTCAAGATCAGTGTTTCCAAGTTCCCACCATTGACGCAAATACCCTTAGGGATCTCTCCGGTGAGGTTGTTCGCCCACATAACCAAATCAAACAGATTCGGCAATGTCCAAATCTCCATGGGAATCCCACCAGTGAGTGCGTTGAAGCTGAGATCGATCGTCTTCAAGCTCTTGCATTTGCCGAGCTCCACAGGAACAGCGCCTGAGAGGTAATTGTTGGCTATGAGTATCTTCTCCAAAGGCGGCGAACTTTGCAGAGAACAGAGACCGGACGGCACATTTCCGGTGAATCCATTTGAGCTAATATCAAGAACTCGAAGGTTAGTGCAGTTGGCGATCGAGAGAGGGACAGAACCAGTTATGTTGTTGAAGGCGACGGATAGGTACTCCAGTCGAGGGAGCTTGCTCGCGACAGTGCTCAGGAAATCGCCCGAGAGCATGTTGTTTCCGAGGTTTAGGTTCTGTAATGAGCCGCAAACGGTGAAGGTCTCCGGCAGGTCGCCGGAGAGAAGGTTCCCGGAGAGATCGAGGATCTCGAGTGCTCTGCATATTTGTGACAGCTCCGCCGGAATCTCTCCGCTAAACCGGTTGTGAGCGAGGGAGAGCTGCTTCAGGCTCTGGAAACTTGCCCAGAATCCACCGCCGGGGATTTTTCCGGCGACTCTGTTCCGGGAGACGTTGAGGAACTCGAGGAGCCTACAATTCGATAAACTGGTGGGAAATTTATCGCCGGAGAGATTGTTCTGAGATAGGCTGAGGAAGGTGAGGTTCCCGCAGGGCCAGAAATTGACGCCGGAGAAGTCGCCGGAGAAATTATTGTGCGACAGGTCGAGGTGCTTCAACGACGCCGGAGAATCGGCGACGAAACTCTTCGGGATCTCCTCCGACAAGAGATTATGAGATAGATCGACGGTCGTGAGGCTCTTACACGACGACGGAGCAGAACCCAGTTTTCCGGTGAGATTGTTGTCGGAGAAATTGACGGAAACTAGGTTGAAACAGCTCGAGAAAACGTAATCCACCATTGAATAATCCGAGAGCTTGTTCGAAGACAAGTCAAGAACTTGAAGAGAACAACCAGAGGAACCAGAGGAATCTCCTCGGGAAAAGGCGTTTCCTTGCAAGTAGAGATTCCGGAGATTCGGCAACGCCGTGAGGTTTCCGAGGTTTAGGGTTCCGGCGAGTCCTCCGTAGCGGAGGTCGAGACCGACGACGTGGCCGTCAACGGAGCAGGAGACGCCTCGCCATGAACATGGGACAGGACCCGACCCATATTTCCAGTTGGCGAGAATGTTGTTTGGGTCAGAGCGGACGGAGATTTGCTTGAACGCCATTAACAGAGCAGCTTCGTCGTTGTCGTCGCCGATTAGCATCTTTCCATGCGTGCCCATAATCAGAGACAGAGCAAAACTGCAGATTATCAGGAACCGCCATTGTCGTTTCATTTTTCACAGCTCGCAACTGTTCGATCAAATCCCCGAGTTCCAGATTTCTGTGTCTGAGTCGAAATATCACCAAAACTCCATCGAAGCAGAGCTTGCAACGCTGAAATCCAAGGGGAAAAAATGTCAACTTTAGAATGATAACAGCAACAACAAAAGGGGAAAAAAAAAGCAAACATCTTTTCCAATGCACAATCAAGCCATGACAAGTCTCAAAACTTGTCCAAACGTATTCAAAGAAGGAGACGACATGAGTAGGCTGTTGGCATATGTATGGGAGAGAGGGAGAGAGAGATTTCCCCAGAGAGTGTAAGTGAACGGATGACAAGGATGGGGATGGATACGACAGAGAGATGGAGAGAAAGAGGCTGAAGATGTACAGAGAGACAGAGAGTTCTGCTTACGAAGAAGACAATCAGATAGTCCGTGACAGAGTTGTCTGTTCGAGTACGATGTTGCAGAGATGGTCAGACTCGGACCCCAGACAACCAAACAAAAAAAATCCCTCAACCGAAACCAGAAAAGAAAAAGAGCTGATTTTCAAGATTCCATAGCTCAACTGCTTATACACGCCGTCAAACAAGGAAGCTTTTCTTCAAGAACAACCGCCCACCAGAAACAGGGAGGGGGGAACAAAGGAATTTTCCGGGAAAACCCCACGAATTTCTCGGGAAAAAAAACTCATTTCTATCTGGACAAGATGATGATAGATATGAAGTCCTCAGCTTTCTTCCATTACCGGAGACGAAAGGAAAGATCCTTGCAAGAAGCGAACGTGTTCTTTGCCAAGAAATTGTTAAAAGCAGCCGAGAGGAAATTGGGCAGAGGAGGAAAAAAAACCCAAAGACAGGCAAAAGTAAGACGCCATAGTCTGAAGTCTAAACCTACGGGAAAAGAGGGAAGAGGACACTAATATGGTATTACTCACTAATTTTCCTTTTCTAAAACATACTTAAAACATTATCCTATGGGAAACTTCGGTGGTTCTTATTAGTAATAACCAGCATAGAGTTCTGGATCTGAGTTGTTATTTCATGCCAAATTACAAATTTCTATCTCATTATTTTATATTATTTAATCTTGAAAATATTAATAAAATTAAATTATAAAAATTTTAGAGTAAAAATCTTAGCCTTTTAATTTTTTAAAAATTAATTAATTGAAATCTCTATTATTGAAATAAATCTCCATATTTGGAAAAATATCATATCTATTAACTTATCCAGTCAAAATGAATATAAAAAGAGGTAATAATAACAATATATTTACCTTTTTTTTTATAGAAATAGAGATTCTTTTTGGATTTTGTTGAGGCTGAAATATGTTTTTTTTTTAAATATAGGTTTATAATTAATTGAATTTTTAAATATTTTTAAAAAAAATTATATTTTTCGCCTTTTTTCTTCAGAACATATCAATATAATGTTTTAAACATGTTTTTTTTTCTCTGTGGTATGAAGACCAACCAGTTGATATAAGTAAGATCCATTAAACGAGTTCCATTATAATTTAACGTTACAACTGCTTTATATAAATTCAGTATTAAATATGATAACTGCCACTATTTATTTCGGTTGTTCCGTACGGCATCATTAAATTTACATAGAATCCTAAATGCAAAAATCATTCATTTTAACGAGTTAAAAATTAAATGAAATGATCATATGTTGCAGATTTATTTACGCATTTTGTAGACGTATATATTTTAAATTTACAAAAAAAAAAATCGGGATATTATTTTCCGATTTTTAAGGGTGCTTTACTCAAAGCTTCTTTCGATTTGATTATTTTAATAATATCTCTCTCGTTTCATATAAACATATATACAAAGGGAAAGCATTATAAAAGTAGAGCCTACGAAAATAAATAAATAGAACATTGGTACAATTTATTTCACGATAATTACGATAAAAGGCCTACGATGTTTTTATGATATATATTATCCGGTATACTATATTTGATCCTTAAAATACTTGAATTCCCTCAACGGATTTCGATGATATATATTTAACATTTTGATAAAATTTATTTTTTTTGCTTTGTAATCCATCGTCAAATTAATGATTATTCAGTAATTATTGAATACAAACTAGTTTTGTGACTATATATATATTACGATTTGCGGATAAATATCATACAATAAATAACCAAGTATTTCCAAAACAATTCATTTATACGAAACATGCGCATGTATGCATGCATGTATATCATAAACTTACGTATTCTATCCAACTTCTACCTAAGCGCATTTAACTCTATTATTTTTCATTTGAATATATGGCAAATCTATTAGAAAAATAATCATTTAAGTACAATAAAAAATAAATCTTTAGTATATGCGTAAACACATTAAAAAATTTGGCCTACGAATGAATCTAGCACTTGAATCGTATAAAATAACTTAATATATTATAGAAAAAGAAAACATTAGGTCAAAAAAATCCGTGGTATTCACATGTGTTAGCGATAGGGTGTTCCATATAATAGGGTCCAAAAGTTTGTATAAATTATAATGACGAAGGACCAGGGTCACCAAGGATAAATATACATATGTACATGTGTGTATATAATATATACTACAAATTTTGTGGGGAAATAAAAAATAAAAAATGAGGAATTAGGAAAAGACGAAAATGGGCACGGGGCCCGGAGATGTAGCGGGGTGGGGGAATATTGAGGCAATATTGTCAGTTTCTTTGTGCGCACGAGCGCATGTATTGTGTCGTGTGACCTCTTATTTAAAATCTTTTTATATATAAATCGTTATAATTAGGTGTGATGACAATTGAATTAAAAATATACATCAGTAAATATTTGATATTGTAACCAAAGACAATTCATACTATTATATAATTTATTTCTACACATCAATATACAATTCTATATACGATTTGTTTAAATAGATTTGAAAGTGTTAGAGCTGATCTGATTCATGAATAATATTTAAAAAAAACATATGTAACTGTATTTAGATCACTAGTTCAGTTGTATTTTATGATATATCAGTAAAAATAAAAACATTATATAAAAAAATTAATGGTGTAGATGGATAGAAGATAGAATTAGAAAGTTCTATCAACCACTTTGACTTAGTAATAGTTATTTCACTATTAAAGAGCGGAATCCTCGCAAAGAAATCTGCCTGATGTCCGGTCCAATGGCAATTATCCCTCTTTTCCTCAATTTAATTTAATTTAATTAATATAATTCAATTTAAACCGGCAAGAAAACGAGACATCTGTGTGTGTGTTACTATAGATAACAACATTTATAAGCTTTTCGAAATACGTAGAAAATTTCTTTGGAACCTTTGTATGTATGTATGCAGTGGCGGACGCAGACAGAAATTCAATTGGGGGCAACTAATATACATATAATAAAAAAACTTTATTTAACGGGGGCATAATCTCTATTTTAAAATTTTTTTGTTAAATTTATAAAACAATTTATATTTTTTTCTAATTTCACTGGGGGCACGTGCCCCCACTCTCTAACAAGTGGATCCGCCACTAATGTATGTATGTATGTATGTATGTATATATGTATGTATGCATACAAATGAAGTAAAGTAAATTAATATAATCAAATATAAACCCGACTCTAAAATTTTAAAATTTACTAATATTGAACGTAGTATATATATTACGCTGACAAAAATAAAATATTTAATTTGTCAAACTTCTTCTTAGTGTGATCTCAAGTAATTGTTCCGTATTATCACCATATTTTTTTTTTAAAAAAAAGGGTGGTCAAAACGGGTTATATAAAATAATTAATATATATATATATGTATCATATATGCGTAATGAATTAGATGCATGACAGACACGTATGTATATAAATAACTGGTGATGGAATGTATTCACATTTAAAAAGTTCATATATATATATATATATATAATATGAATACGTATATATATAAGAAAAAAGAGTCTAACAAATCTTACTGTTTTTATTGGAGAATGACAAAAAGGAAAGGGAAATGTGACGTTTCGAATTTGTTGGAAGTCCGACGTCGACCGAACCGCCCGTCCGATTTGCTTCTTACGTGCTCTCAGATCTAAAAAGTTCATATATACGTACATAATTATAATTTGTCTTTTACTTATATATATATTCATAATTTGTATATGCCTTATGATGATGATGATGATGCCATGCATACATACATGCATGCATGCAGCGTACATAACATTAGTAGGTGGGAGTGAAAATTGTGATTATATGCATATAGGATCGGGCGGAAACTAATCAAAATATACAAAACAAGTGAACATTTTTTTTATATAAAAAAAAGGAGCAGAAGTTGATAAATGATAAGATGAGGATTTTCAATAGCTAAGAGGAATATATAATACTGTTTATATATATATATATATATATATATATAAAGATGGGCCAAATCGTAATGATATCCAAACAGTGTCTTATTTGTCCTAATCACAGTATATAACATTTTCTATTTATATTATTTTCTTATTCTTTTTCCAAACATTATAAAAGGAAGCAATAAAAAGGTTACCAAAGAAAGACATATGGTCCAACATGTAATTATTTAAACTAGGAAAACATCTCAAGTGTTATGGTCCAATCCATATAAAAAAGGAAGACATAGGGGAAACCCCAGTCCAGTAAGATGACAACTCCTCCTTATATAAGTTCACGGGTTTGATTCTTCCTTGTGTAAAATTTTCGCTGAACCGATCAGCTTCTCCTAGTTTAACTGTTCGGCGTAGTTTGCCGGCTGTTGTGTTGAGCCGTTGGGTTTACTGTTCACGATACTGTATCATTCGTCCGACCCTCTGAGTTGTGAGGCATTGCGGAGTCCGACCCGAAAGGTCGAAGGCGGATTCCCATCGTTATAAAAAAAAAAAGACATATGATCCTATATATATTAAAAAAAGGTAATAGAATGTGTAATTGATTTTCTTTGTGGAGACCAACCAATCCTTTTGATTTCGTTAAGTGGAAGTTAAGATTTTTTTTCTTGCAGTATTTATATTTGAATAGATGATATTCGTTCATTTCATTCATTTGGTTTGGCATTGTGGACGGACCCAGTGATGAAGAAAAAGCGAAGCGTAGAGGAATTGTCATCCATCACCCACTCACTATAACACACACACACAGATATATATATATATATATATATATATATATATATATATTCAATTTCGGTCACATATATATTGATCAAATGTTCAATTGTTTATTAATTTTTAACATTTAAATTCAAAATTCTTTTTAGTTGAACTATCATTACACTCATATGGTAGTATGGAGACATCATCAAACTCATGAACATGTCTGATATCCGGGGGAAAAAGTTATGTTGAAATGCAATTACTATTTATATTATTAGATATAATCAAAATAAGCAAAATTAAATCAAATGGATCAAATACAAATATAGCCCATTGGGTAGTTTGTTCAGTTGGGCCGAAATATATTATGCCCAAATTGGGCCGAAATTTAATTTGAGCTATATAATTTATTTTGGGCGGAAATATATATTGGTTGTGTTTGTATCAAAATTTTATATGATCACTCAAATTTTAGATGATCAAATTTATTTAATTTTATATGATCAGTCAAATGTATCAAACGGTGTGAGAAAATTCCAATCAATTACAACTATAAATACCTGGGTTCTCAACTTCTCAATAATGATCATAGATTAAATGTGGAGGAAATTAAATGTAATTAAATGTTTATAAATAAAATATTTTTTATTTTTCAAAAAGATTTTTAATCCAAATCATTCTATTTATTCTCTTAAATTTTAATAAAATAATAAAATAGAAGGAGATCGAAGGTTTGAAAAATGATATAAAAAGGTTCCATAAATTTTTTTTTAAAAATCCATTCATAATTGAAATTTCGATAATCGTTTTTTTTGTAATATCGAAAATTTGATTTATTATTGGTAACGTAAAACGGGATTTTTGTAGACTAGGAACGTAAACTACGCCATCTTTTGGGATTAGTATGAATATTATTTAGA